CCCAGAAAAGTTGCCTGAATTGAATTGCTACATCAAAGAATTCAATGTTCCATTTTCCTTGGCTGAGTGGGAGGTACTTTTGATGCCAACAGCTTCTGTGGGCATTTAGGCGTGAGCTTGGCAGAGAAGCCTCAGTTCCCCTGGGCTTGTCCTGGTCGGCAAGGATCTCAGAGTCTGTGTTCGCCTGAGGTGTGCTTCGAGCCCTGTCACTTTCTATCTTTCTGTCATCTTGGGGTGAGCTCAGAAATGGCAATGGCACTCTCCTTTGTGAGCTTTTTTATTTCCAGATCTGCTGGCCTTACGGGCAAGGGATCAAGGGATTGGCTGGCTCCCTTTTAAATTCACCTTCTTTGGACTTTAATCATTAAACTGCACCATTTGGGAATCCCTGGGTGGCTCAGGGGTTTAGTGCCTGCCTTTGGCCCAGGGCGTGGTCCTGGAGTCCCGGGATCAAGTCCCACATCGGGCTCCCTGTGTGGAGCCTGCTTCTCCCTCTGCCTATGCCTCTTTCTCTGTCTCTCATGAATAAATAAAATTAAAAATAAATAAATAAAATAAATAAATAAACTGAACCATTTTCCAAACTCATCCCGTCACCTCTTGCCAGCCTTCCTCCCCCCCTACTCCTCCCCAGGGTGTCCTGGCATCAGGACTTCATGTTCTGAACAGCTTCACTCCTGGCCTGCCAGTCAGGGGCCATAGGGCTGAGACGGAGACCCAGACCTTTCATTAACCCACTCTCCCCAAGAAAGAGAGCTGTGGATCAGCTGGCAGGGGGTGGGGGTGGGGACAGCCCCAGGAGAGAGACAGATCAGCCTCTTTGGTTTGAAGCAAGAGAACAAGCACACCTCGGCAGTGTGGACTCTTTAAAAGCCGACAAACTGGGACCTGGGAATAGCAGGAGCATTTCTGTGGATCAACTGACAGTTGGAAGAGCATGTTTCTACAGAGCGTGGCCTCGCCCACCAGCTCCAGTGACTCCGAAAGGTGGGGTCTGGGGTTTGTGATCATTGGCCGAGGGGACCTGGCCTCGCTGACTGTCTCCCTGAAAAGACTGCGGAAACCTTATAGACACGTGCCCCCTGGTCCTTAGCTCCTCAGTTCCCCAGCTGCACTACTTTGTTTTGCTCTCACTTCCTCCGTTGAAATATGTCTGCCAGGGAGTCAGGTTCCTGCAGGCTTTTTTATTCTAGGAACTGTTCCAGTTCTCCCCTTTATCTTTGTCTTACAGTTAATCTGCAGTTGGAGAAGAAAGCCATTAGTGTGGAGTGGGAGGTGCCCTCAGCAGCATTCAAGCTTGCAAATCCCAAGGGGCCGTCTTCTCAGAAGCTCAGAGAATTTTGCTCATTGTGTGTCTAATTACCAAGTGTAGGCAGGTTTCATTGGAAACCTGCTACACTGGGCTGTCATGGCAACCTGATCATCAAATGACACTCTGGCCACAGCAGCAAAGGAGGTTCAAGAGCCGAGCCGAGCCGTATGGGTGGGTGCGGCTAGAAGAGCCGGATGCTGGCAGGGCTTCTTCGCATATTAATATTTTTGGCTTGGTCTGAGTCATTGCAGAGGAGGGGGGAGATACCTTATGACCTAATGCTACAGTCCCGAAGGTACTCTACCTGCCCTGTTCTTACTCAAGGTATTCAGCACTTAACAGGAAGTGCCTGTCCTGGGGCATGAACCAGAGTGGTAGAACCAGAGACAACTTGTGGTATTGGTAGATTCGAGGGGGACAAGATGCTGAGATGCTCAGGAGAGGAACTTCTACATTACGGATGAAATGGAACCTGATAACCATTAGATCCTCAGGGATCTGGAGTTGCTGTCATTGGTTTTGTGTGCTAGTTGTTACAGGAATGGACATCAGAAGAGACCAGCGAAAGTAGATCTGGGTCACAAAATCAGAATAAGTAAAAAGAGCAGAAAAGAATGGTACACAACAGGACAAGGAGAGGGACAACACGTGACGCCATGCACTGGTGTGAATCGTGAGGAACTGAACACAACCTTGATTTAATCTTTCCTATTTTATTTCTCCTATGCGGGTTCAGAAGCTGTAACCCATATCAGCTTTTGTGTCGTTTCTTAGCTAAGCCGAAGCCTGAACTTGCTCGGGTCACACCTTTCCCACACACCTGCCACCTTTTAATGTGAAGTATGGCTTACTGTAATTCTCAGTATCAGGCATATGGGCTTTTTTGGAAACTGAATTCTAAAATATTTTTGGCAGTGTCAGGTTTGGGTGCCGTCTTACGTGGATGTAACAAGAGCTGGGTCCTGGGTGAGGCTCAGCCCTGCTGCAAACAGGCTCTGGGCTTGGGCAAACCAGGTCACCTCTCCTAAGTTCCTTTTGCTCATCTCAGAGATTAAGGGGCAACCCCAGGAGCCCCTGCGGGCCCCACTGTCTATAACCCCAGGGATACAGCACTTACCATGGATCCCAGGTGCCTAGAGATTGGTTCATTTGGGCAGAATTTCCAGTTTCCGTTTGAAAGTGGAATTCTGCATGACCTATGAGACTCAGGAGGAGTGGTTTAAATAAATAAGCAAATAGCAATTCACATTTGCCCAGTGAAGACATTCTGTTGGATTCCATCACAGTTGCACAATAAAAATAAGTTTGAACCTTTAGAATTAACGTTGGAATGGAATTAACGTTAGCATTGTAAAATAACATTTGATTAAGCACATGCAGAGCTTGTCAGAGGACATTTCCTGACCCCATGATGCCATTGGTCTGTGGAGTAATGAGCTTTGTTATAATTAGGATTTCACCTTGTTTTTTTTTTTTTTTTTCCTGGAAAACAGTTGCTCTTATCTGATAATACTTTATAAAGTTTTCCCCAAAGTATAGAATATAGGTTTTACTTTTATTTGTTATTATCTACTCTTCTTATATTTGTTCTATAAATGGATCAGAAAACTCAATAGTAGACAAAGAAAAATTCAGTGGTACAGTTACCATAATTATTTGAAAAATAGTTTATTAGGAAATGAACATCTCCAAGTTTAACAACTTATTTTTTTCAGTCAAAATATTGGTCCTATTGTATTGGAATGACTGCAGTCATCACTGAAATGAGATATTTCAACATCTCTAACTTATTTTTGTTTCAGAGGCAAACATGAATAATTTAACAAAGGAAGATCACCATTTCAAAATTTAGCTAGGTGCTCTCTCTACCCAACATGTGGCTTGAACTAACGACCCCGAGATCAAGAGTCACATGCTCTACCCACTGAGCCAGCCAGGTGCCCTTATAAATGTGAACCTCCTTTAAAATAAAAATAGTACGTGATCCTCTTGAAGTGGATAAAATACCCTGACAACTGCAGACGCTCAGGAGAACACACTTTAAGTCTTCATCAAGAGTGGTCATGTTTGTTTCCTGGAGTCTTAAAGGGCTGCCACTGGCTTCACTCATTCAGAAGCTGTTTGTATCAGCACCCTCCATGACCCAAGTCAAGATACAAAGGTTCAAAGCCAATAGCCTCTGCCTTCAAGAACCCCAGTAGCAGAGATAAGTTATATATGAAAATACCCCTGAACCAGAAATTCTGGATGGGGCAGTTGAAGAGATAGATGAGTGTCATGGACTTGGGTGGAGGCTGAGCAGAAATCTGGATAATCCAAGCTGCCTCTAGATTCCTCATCGAATCCTCCCCAGTGTAGTCCAAGACCTGTCTTTATAGACTCATCATCACATCTATTTTTATTTTATTTTATTTTTATTTTATGATTTTATTTATCCATTCATGAGAGACAGAGAGGCACAGAGACATAGGCAGAGGGAGAAGCAGGCTCCATGTAGGGAGCCTGACATGGGACTTGATCCGGGGTCTCCAGGATTACACCCTGGGCTGAAGGTGGCACTAAACCACTGAGCCACCGGGGCTGCCCATCACATCTCTTTTAATTTTTTTTTTAAAGACTTTATTTATTTATTCATAGAGACACGCACAGAGAGAGAGAGAGGGAGGCAGAGACACAGGCAGAGGGAGAAACAGGCACCATGCAGAGAGCCTGACATGGGACTTGATCCAGGGTCTCCAGGATCACGCCTTGGGCTGCAGGCGGCACTAAACCGCTGCGCCACCAGGGCTGCCCCCATCACATCTCTTTTAGAAGGGCTGAAATGTCATGTAAGTTATTAAAATGTTTCATAATACTGTATGTAAGCATCAACATCTCATTTTATATTTTTAAAGTTTTATTTATTTAATCTTTACACCCAACATGGGGCTCGAACTCAACCTGCTCTTCCGACTGAGCCAGCCAGGTGCCCCAACATCTTATTTTAAAATCATTTTTTCTAGTTTTTAACAAAAAAGCTCTTTAGTGAATTACAAAATTCCTTTTACTTTGGTTATTTCCAAATTATAACCATCCATTTTTATCCATCCCAGTAGTGAGATTTAGTCTATATTAGGAAGTGGTACACTATATAGAAGGAACATCTTTGTGACGCAGTCTGCCTCCGCAGCATGAATCTTTTGACACTTTTTGTGGGCAAGAGGTGACGTGGAGATGGTAGGCTGGCCAGGAAAGGATCACCTTTATTTAGTTATTTTTAAAATATTTTATTTATCCATGAGAGAGGCAGAGACACAGGCAGAGAGAAAGAAGCAGGCTTCATGCAGGGAACCCGATGTGGGACTCAATCCCGGAGACCTGGGATCATGCCCTGAGCCAACTGCTGAGCCTCCCAGGTGTCCCAGGATCACCTTTAAATGAGGACCCAGGGCAGCCCGGGTGGGTCAATGGTTTAGCGCTGCCTTCAGCCCAGGGCGTGATCCTGGAAACCCAGGATCCGGTCCCACATCGGGCTCCCTGCATGGAGCCTGCTTCTCCCTCTGCCTGTGTCTCTGCCTCTCTCTCCTCTCTCTCTCTCTCTCTCTCTCTCTCTCTCTCTCTCTCTCTCTCTCTCTCATGAATAAATAAATAAAATCTTTAAAAAAATAAATGAGGATCCAATCCTGAATTTCCAGGACCTGAGATTTTCTCTCATCCTCACTTAAAAGGGGTGTTTCTGGAGCTTTGTTGCCCAGTAGAACTTCCTGTGTGATGGAAATGCTCGGAGTCCATGTGGCTATGGAGCACCTGAAACGTGGTCACACAACTCAGGAACTGAATTTTTAATTTTATTTAATTTTAATCAATTCAAAATTTAAAACTTCTTGATTAACACAGACCTAGGCCAGAAAGCTAGGACTATACCGAACTTTCAGGTGTTCTGAGAGTGGGCTCTGAAGGCTGTCTGGAGTCTTCTGTGAGGGCCTGGCTGACCCCATCTCCTCGGAGGCCCACAGCACAACCATCTTTAGCGAGGGTCCTTTCCGCCTGTGTCGTGGTCGCTCCCGGGTCCTTGCAGGACCCTCACGGGAAACCCCAGGGGAATGGGTTTCTGCTGAAGTGCTCACATCACAGAATGGCCCAAAGAAGGCCACTGGAGCCAGCTGGAAGGTGGCTGGCCCAGGCAGAGTCCAGGGCTCAGTCAGTTCAGGGGCAACTCCCCTGCGGATGAATGAGCCCGCCTTGGGGCTACTTCCAGGAAGGCTGGGCACCGCGCTCCCCAGCTTCTATCCTCACAGCTAAACTGGGCCCCTCTCCAGCGAGCATCGACTCAGTCTGTACATCCACTTATTTTTCTGCTGGGAATGATTTACTAAGGGGAGAAAACCACGGTGTGACGCGTTTGGGGACCTTGTGGAAAAATATGTTGAGGGGTATTTGTTCATCTGGACGGGTTGGCAACGAAGGGTGAAAGTTCGTTCTCTCTCGGCCTGCTTCCGAAGAGTTAACTCGGGGCGCCGGTGACGTCAGCCCTGATCTTTACACCCCTCCGCTGGCGCTGGAGGTGGGGGCCCGTGCTCATTGGCTGTGGGCAGGACTTCCCCTGGGCCGGCTTTTCGCAATTAAGTAAAAGGGCAGGGCCCGAGCAGCCAATGACAGCTGCGCCCCGGCTTATCCGAAGCGCGTGTGCGGCCCGGGCAGCATTCCCTGGCTCCCCGGCGGCGGCTGCGCGCCCGAATCCCGGTCAGCATGCTCTGCCTGTGCCTCTATGTGCCGCTCATCGGGGAGACCCAGAGCGAGTTCCAGTACTTCGAGTCCAAGGGGCTTCCCGCCGAGCTGAAGTCCATCTTCAAACTCAGCGTCTTCATCCCCTCCCAGGAGTTCTCCACCTACCGCCAGTGGAAGCAGGTCTGGAGCGGCGGCGGGGAGCCCGGTCGGGGTCGGCTGAGCAAACGCATGAGTGGTGTGGTAGGGGTGCGCATGCGCGAACTGTGCCCCGCCACAGGGCAAGAATGACGGAAATGTGCGAGTTCTTTCCCCAGTTGTCATGTGGCTGTAGCCGGGAAAGGGTTATGTCATGTCACGGGAATGCCTGGCTTTCTTATGACTTCCAAGGAAGGAAGGCTGGAATTACGGGGAAGGTACTGTGGGAGATGGAAATGAGTTCTTTTGCTGGGCGCCGGGGATGGGGTGGAGTGGTGGGAGTTCCAGAGAAGTACAGGGCTGCTGTGGGACCGTTTCTCAGAGCTGGGGGAGGGAGAGGCAGAGAAGCTCCTGTTGGAGGCCAGGAGTTGGAACTGGAGCTGCAGAGGCTGGAGCTGGCCTGGCTGTGCCTTGGGGAGGGGAACCTTCCTAGCTTCCCTTGGGAGCAGAGAGGCAGCAGAAATCACATTTTAAAGATGGGGAAATGGCTCCAGAGCCTGTGAGGGACTCCTTGCCTCCTAAAAGGGCCTCCTCTGACTTTTCTGTTAATCAGATTTCATGCTGTCCTCCAGTGCTCATGATGGCAGTGGGGGTTAGATGGTGTGCCAGGGATGGTGATTAACGTATCCTAGGAAGAAGACAGAAAGTAGATCTAGTGGTTCTGAGGTAGAAGCAAGGTCGTTGAGGATATCTTGAAATCAGCTGCAATGAACACATCCTTGGGTTTTCTATATTGCAAGGCACCCACCCCACTAAGGCAGGTGGATTGTGTTGGTGGCAGAGCAGCTTGGATACCAAAAAGCTCAGTGCCTAGCATTCGCCTCCTAGATTCTATTTCCACTCCTGCTATAAATCTAGAATGATAACCCTATATGTAATTTGTACCATTCTTGGCTGAGACCATAAATGTCTGCAGGAAGTTAACTCCAGATAACAGATAAAATATGTGCCAGCCTATCTCACATTCCAGCCACACCCCTGGCGTTGTTCTTTGGATCATGTTAAGTGACATGGTGTCTGTCCAGGCCTCCTCCTTGCACCCTTAGTGGCTGAGCAGTCACAAAGGGCCATCAGGTGGTTCAGAGAGTAACCATGATTGTAGTCATTGGAGAGCACCAGCCAGCCAGTGGTCCATCAATTTCCAAACCCTCTGGCCCAGAGACTTTTAAAGCCATACTGGTTTGTGACTAGTGAACGTGGTTCTCACTGAGAGAATTGGGCAATGCAGGAAGACTATCCTCATTTTCCTTAGGAGAGTCTCCGTCCAGATTTTGGGGTGTTGTTGGGTTGCAGTGACTCATGTGTGTCACCCACCTTCTTGAGATTAACTTTTAGGGTGGCAGCAGGATATCCAGGGAGGTAGAGTCTGACAGGCCCAGCTTGAATCCTACCCACAACTTCCCTAGCTGTGCAACCTTGGATAAATTACTTAACTTCTCTGAGCTTGTTTCCTTCTCTGTACAAATGGGGGAAATAACAGTACCTGCCTCCTAGAGCTGCTTGAGGGGATTCAGCAGGTTACCAGAGGTAAAGCTTTTAGCAGGCCCTGTGGCACAGGCCAAGGGCTGCTCCCTCCTTATAGGGAGAATTTCCAGGGCTGAGCGTGTAAAATTGCGGCTGCTGAACAAAGCTCACTTTTGAGGACAGGCACAGAGTTCTGTTCAAGGGGTCTCTTCAAGCCTTCTTGGGTCAGGACTGCTAAGAAGAGCTGTCCTGCTTTTCAGTGCCTGGTTGAGTGGGCTGAGGTCGGCGATGTCATCTGGTTCCCCGGGAGTCAGAGGCCAGCAGTGCCATCAAGCCCATGTCCATGCCCAAGAATAGTCCGCCTTGGCTCTTACCAGGGTTCTCTGGCAGTGTTTCTGCCTTGCAGGCATTGGCAGGAGCTAGCTCTGCCCCCATACCTTTTTACCCTGGTCACCCATTGGTTCTTGGGCCGGTGCCACTTCTAGGGATAAAAAGAGCAAGATACAGCATTCCTCATGGAATCTGGAGCGTCCAAGGCCGTCCCCACATTTGGGTAGAGAGCATGCGGGCTGAGGCCTGGTGCCAGGGACAGTGCTACAGGGGAGCCACACAACTGACCTTGGTTGTGCAAGCTAGTCTTCGGGATACTTGGAATGAGAAAGTGCCAAGCTGGCCAGCACTGGTTTCTATCTGAAGGGCTCCTCCTGGGAGTGCCTTTCTCCTCTTTGCTTGTGAAGGAAGCAAGGTGGGCTCTCACTTGGGTTCTGGATGGCCTTCGGGGATCCAAGTGGTAGCTTTGGGAATAGAGCAGAGCAAGCCTCTCAGGTCCTCAGAGCCACCTCGGTCCTTGGGTTAGCACAGTTGTGTCCTGGGGAACGAGGACACCATGAGGGACAAGGAAAAGCTGGGGTACATGCTAAAGGAAGAAACCTCAATTTCTGTTTTATAGAAAATCGTGCAAGCTGGAGACAAAGACCTCGATGGGCAGCTCGACTTTGAAGAGTTTGTCCATTATCTACAAGATCACGAGAAGAAGCTGAGGCTGGTATTCAAGAGTTTGGACAAGAAGAATGATGGTAAGTGTTCCCTCCAGAGCCCACGGCCGCCCGGGTCTCAGGCCTCTTATGGGCCTGGCCCCTGGATGAAGCCTTTGTTGTTACAGGACGAATCGATGCTCAGGAGATCATGCAGTCCCTGCGGGACCTAGGAGTAAAGATATCCGAACAGCAGGCGGAAAAGATTCTCAAGAGGTGAGAGCCTAGTCAGCTTCTGTTTTTGGTTTAACAAACATGTGATGAAAGAGAGTTTCTTGGACCAAACTCTGTGGTGCCCTTCACTGTATTGACCCAGTTTCTCTGAACTTTGGCTTCAGGTGGTTTGACGTGATGGAAAGGTAGCCCATCCCCAAGAGCAGCCGCTCCCCAGCTTCCAGGCCAGGGTCACAAATCGCCTGGAAGCATGCCCACTCACTAGTGACCCGTGAAGAGAAGAGACTAGTTGGGGAGATTTCAAGAGGGTGAAAGGCCAGCAAGGAGCACTCTCTCTGCCTAGTGGGGAAGGGGCTCCGGGGGCAGCACCCCATTTAGGGTGGGCTTCCTGAGAATGCTGACCTTCCTCCACCCTGTAATCAGATGTGCTGCCTGGAGACAGCTCATGGGGGAGCCCTGGTCCCAGGGGAGAACATAGTGTCCCCACCAGGAAATCATGCAGATTGGCCTTAGGAGCGGCTTCTTCTCCCATGTGCACCTTTCCAGATCCCCGGGGCATCCCCGGGCATCATGCTGTGGTTGTGTGCCTGCTTCACTAACATCTGCTCAGAGCACTTATCTGTGTTTCTCCTCTCTCCTCTGCATCCTCCTTTGTCTGTCTGTCAGAATACGAACGGGCCACTTCTGGGGCCCTGTCACCTAGTAAGTATCTGTGTCACCCCGGTGACTCCCTCCCTTCTTGACCTCTGTGCCTGATCTGAGTGGGGTTCTTGTGGGCCATTAAATTCCCGTTTTTGTGCAAAGTAGAGCCACCTCACCTCTTCTCTGGGACAGAGACACTGCCCATGGTCTCCTCGGTGGCCCAGCGCCTGCCCTTAGCTTGCCGGGAGGGGGGATGTGCAGCTGACCCACTGGCCTGTCTTCCCCCGGGCAACCAACCATACGTTTGTCTTACAGCATGGATAAGAATGGCACAATGACTATTGACTGGAATGAATGGAGAGACTACCACCTCCTCCATCCCGTGGAAAACATCCCCGAGATCATCCTGTACTGGAAGCATTCCACGGTGAGTCCTGTGCCCTGGGACACGAAGGCGGGTCCGGTCCTGCGGCATCCGTGGAGATACGGAATCCGTGGAGATGCACGTAGGGTTTTCAGCTTGCCTCCTCCAACAAAAGGCTGTCCACAACTCCACCAGCCCCGCAGGGCCCTCCACATGTACCCACCACCACCGCAATCCCACACACCAGCCAACTTGAGCAGCCTAACCATTTCCCAGATGCAGGCCTCCATCTGCCAAGGATGCCCTCCCGCTGCCTGTTCTTCAGGGTCTACTCCAAACACCCCTGCCCCAATCTGCTTGTTCTCCCAAAGCCCGTGTGCGCCCAGCAGCAGGGGCACTCCACAGACAGCAAATAGTAGAGCCATTAAGTTTCTTCCCCCACCACCCCATTTTGTGTGTCCTTTCTGTCAAAAGAAAATGTCCCTGTGGTCCTGTACATGCTGCTTTTTCACCCCTGTCAGTGCTGCTGTTCAGAAAGACACATCCGGGGATCCCTGGGTGGCTCAGCGGTTTGGCGCCTGCCTTTGGCCCAGGGCGCGATCCTGGGGTCCCGGCATGGAGCCTGCTTCTCCCTCCTCTGGTGTCTCTGCCCCCCTCTCTCTCTCTATGTCTATCATAAATAAATAAATCTTTAAACAAAACAAAAACAGAAAGACACATCCACACCTCCCTGGACATGGCCATGTTGACTCCCCACCTCTGAGCCCCTTCATTCGGGGTACACCCACCCTATTTGCAATCTTAGCCACCCCAGACTCTCCACTCTGGGAAGGGAGGCCAGGGGCGCGCCTCTGGCCTGTCTTCCACAGTACCCAGGGCAGGGCCTACCCTCAGGGCACACCTGGTTCTCCAGCTAGCTAAAATCCAGCACGGCGCCCCACGCTTTGGAGCAGAGCTGGCTCTGGCCAGGTGGAATGCTGCCCAGGAGAGCGGCTGTTACATAGGCATCACAGCGCTCTGATATTTGCCGAGGCCTTGTGCAATGTTCTGCCAGCGTGATCTGGTTACACATTGGGTTTCAGAATCTTTACCCCTGACTTGACCCTTGCAGTACAGGCGGTCTGGTGATCCTCAACTGAAATGCCTTTGTAAGCCGTTCTTGCAGGAGCCGTGGGCAGGTATCTGCAAGGCCATCCAATGGTTGTATAACCACTTTCTCTCCCTAGGCTCTCAGATTCTCTCCCTGGGCCTCTTCAGGGCTTGGACAGGGACCAGAGCTATGCCACCTTCACAGATAAATGAGAAGGGGCATGCCAGTCTCCCTCCCCTGGGCCTTCTTACACCGTATGGCCCCTGGGGCCTGGCCATTCTAGATGGTGGAAGGTTATAAACTGAGCTGTCTGCCAGCAGCTTGGCTGCAAACGTCAGGAGCCTGTTTGTTTTATCTTTGCTGGTCTTCCTTTGCAGATCTTTGATGTGGGTGAGAATCTGACAGTCCCTGATGAATTCACAGTTGAGGAGAGGCAGACGGGGATGTGGTGGAGACACCTCGTTGCTGGAGGCGGGGCAGGGGCTGTATCCAGAACTTGCACGGCGCCCTTGGACAGGCTCAAGGTGCTCATGCAGGTATGTAGGAAAACAGGCCTCAGACCACTGGCTTTCCACCCCAGGGGTCCTCAGTAGGTTGATCTCCTCCTCCTGTGTCTTGTGCTCTCTGGGCTCATACTTTTCTAACCCCAGTGAATTAGATTGGAATCATTGTTCAGACAAGGGCAACATAAGATCCAGGTCTGGGGTACCTTTGCACAGAGCTTATTTCATTTTATCCGGGGCACAAAAGCCAGGGGTCACATTAAAGGGCTGAAGTGTGGACAGGTAAAGCCAGTGAGAACCAGGTGTGGCAGGAACCTGTTGCCTTGGGTACATCTTGTGCAGGCACATGGGATGAGTGCGAGCAGACCCCTGCCTGGCCCAGACACCTTTACTTTGGCCAGACGCCCAACTCCACGTCCACAGGGCAGAGATAAGCTAGGTGCACGTCAGGGACAGGCTTGCGAAATTGGCCTACACAAGGATGCCCTGTCGGACTTCAGTGTCGCCTGAACATGGCTGGTCACACACGCCTCTTGGCGTAGGTGCTAGCATTGTGTTTCAAGCTCATCCTCTTGTGATGAGCACTGGGTGTTATGTGTAAGTGATGAATTGCTGAGTTCTACTCCAGAAACCAAGATCGCATTATGTGGTAACTACCTAAAATTTTTTTTTTGAAAAGAAAAAAAAAGGTGACATCCTTTCCTCCCCGCCTTGCCCTCCTGAGCTGGCATTGGTGGGAAGCCTGTTAAATGAGCTCCCTTCTCATGCAGAAGTGGAGAGGCAGCGTAATGGTTTGGGGAGAAGAGCTTTAGAACCTGACCAGGTCCCACCCCACAGCTGTGTGACCTTGGGCAAGTCACTTCAATGCCAGGATTTCCGTTCCTCTGCAGAAACCAAGAGGCTTGGGATCCCTGGGTGGCGCAGCGGTTTGGCGCCTGCCTTTGGCCCAGGGCGCGATCCTGGAGACCCGGGATCGAATCCCACGTCGGGCTCCCGGTGCATGGAGCCTGCTTCTCCCTCTGCCTGTGTCTCTGCCTCTCTCTCTCTCATTCTATGTGACTATCATAAATAAATAAATAAACAAACAAACAAATAAATAAATAAATAAATAAATAAATAAATAAAATCTTAATATTAAAAAAAAAAGAAAGAAAGAAAGAAACCAAGAGGCTTGAACAAATTGCTTCATCAGTTTGTTTTTCCTAACTGAATTCCCAGGAATGCTGGAGAGATGAAAAGTTGTCCATGGATGGACTCACAGTACCTGGGATGTGCCTTAAATTGATCCAGCAGAGGTGGGGGCAGCGTGCAGTCTTCCATGGGCCATGGTTTTATGATTATCAGAGCTGATTATGGGTTCCCGAGAGCCCAATATATAATACTGTGCGCTTTTTTTTTTTTTAAGATTTTATTTATTTATTTATTCATGAGATACACAGAGAGAGGCAGAGACACAGGCAGAGGGAGAAGCAGGCTCCATGCAGGGAGCCCAACATGGGACTCGATCCCGGGACTCCAGGATCACACCCTGGGCCGAAGGCAGGCGCTAAACCGCTGAGCCACCCAGGGATCCCCAATACTGTGCACTTTTGTACGTGTCTGAAACTTTCCATAGTTAAAGGCTCAGTTGAACAAATTTTTTTTAAAGTAGTGGTCGTGGAGGTGATTGGCACGCCGCAGGTGCCATGAAGAACCAGGGTAGCCATGGTTAATTCTCCCAGTGCCCAGTTACCCTTTAGGACACCGAGAGGAGAGAGCTGCCTGCTGACCTTGTTATGTTGGCCTATAGTAGAGGCTCTCTGTGCCCTGATGGCATCCCTCTGGCTGCAGGATTTTCTGACCGCTTGTCCTTCCCTCCTTAGGTCCACGCCTCCCGCAGCAACAACATGTGCATTGTGGGCGGGTTCACCCAGATGATTCGAGAAGGCGGGGCCAAATCTCTCTGGCGGGGCAATGGCATCAACGTCCTCAAAATTGCCCCTGAATCAGCCATCAAATTCATGGCCTACGAGCAGGTAAGGACCCAGCTTCCCAGGGAGAGTCGTCAGTCGTTAGCTGTTTCCTGAGCCTCCCTGCCCTGCTGATGCCCTGGAACGTGGAGCCAGTCACTGTACTGAGGGGTCAGCAGGGTGAGGCAGGAAGCTGGGACAAGCCCCCACTCTGCTGCCAGCTCCACTGTGGGCCAGTTACTTCTATTTTTGGGCAGTGACAGGTGTTCCAGAGGCACCAGGTTTTGGCTCCGGGAGGAACGGTGGAGCAGGAGCAGCTGTGCTGGTCTCTGGGCTATATCAGTTCATGTGCTCTCTGTTCTAGATCAAGCGTCTTGTGGGGAGTGACCAGGAGACTCTGAGGATTCACGAGAGACTTGTGGCAGGGTCCCTGGCTGGGGCCATCGCCCAGAGTAGCATCTACCCAATGGAGGTGAGGGCCCCCTCGGTCCTAGAGTGGTCAGTGCCCTTGGGGCTGAGGGTGGGGAGTGGGCCGTGCTCACACTACCATTGCTCTTTCGGGTCCTCCAGGTTCTGAAGACCCGAATGGCCCTGCGCAAGACAGGCCAGTACTCAGGTATGCTGGACTGTGCCAGGAAGATCCTAGCCAGAGAGGGAATGACCGCCTTCTACAAAGGCTACGTTCCAAACATGCTGGGGATCATCCCCTACGCTGGGATAGACCTAGCCGTCTATGAGGTGAGGCTCTGGTGGCTCAGGCCCCTTGACCCAGCAGCAGAGACCCAGAAACTCCTCCTAGCCAGGCCCCCCACCTGCTCTCACCTCCTGATAGACATGGGGGATGGCTGCAGCAGGGAACAGTGTCTCCTTCCAGACTCCTCTGTTGATTGCAGGGGTCTCCTGTCACATTCCCAGTCCCTGGGACTGCCCAGGTTCTCCACCGACAGGGACTCAAGTGGACAGATAACCAGACTGATTCTGACCAGGGTTGCTCACTGGGCCCCCAGCAGACTTGAAACCACAGCAGTCAGACTCTGGGTGGGGAAGTGGGTGTTGCCCCTGCCTCATCCCCACCCCCTGTCCCATCCAGGAATCCCCAGTGACAGCAGAAACAAAGGGCAGGCAGGCCAAGCGAGTCAGGTTACAGTAGCCTCGAGGATGCCATGTGATAAGGAAATGCCTCCTGAGCGGATTCAGTAACTGTGTGTCCCCACTCCCAACCCCTGTCTCTTATTGCCTCATGGGCTCTTTCTGGGCCTCACAGGCATTTTGGCTCACCCCTGTCCCCCTGTCCCCCTCCAGACGCTCAAGAACGCCTGGCTACAGCGCTATGCGGTAAACAGTGCGGACCCTGGCGTGTTTGTACTCCTGGCCTGTGGCACTATGTCCAGCACCTGTGGCCAGCTGGCCAGCTACCCACTGGCCCTGGTCAGGACCCGGATGCAGGCCCAAGGTAATGCTGGTTCTGGGCCAGTCCTCAGGGGCCTGTGTCCCCAGGCAGGTTGGGCTCCAGGGCAGAACTGGCAGACCCCTGATGGTGCCTCTCTCACTACAGCCTCCATTGAGGGCGCTCCAGAGGTGACCATGAGCAGCCTCTTCAGACAGATCCTGCGAACCGAGGGGGCCTTTGGCCTGTACCGGGGGCTGGCCCCTAACTTCATGAAGGTGATCCCAGCTGTGAGCATCAGCTACGTGGTTTATGAGAACCTGAAGATCACCCTGGGTGTGCAGTCTCGGTGACGGGACGGGGGGCAGCTGCACTTGCTCGGCGGACTCCCGGATCCTGGGTCTGCAGCCCCGGGATGTGTAGCCATCCATTCTGTGAATGTGCCAACACTAAGCTGACAGAAGCCAAGCTGTGAAAAGCCTGGGATGTGCCCGCAAGGGAGTGGGGCAGGGCCTGGCAGGCCCACTGGGTATGTCCTGCTGACTCTGGCCGACCACCATGTCCATTCCCGGGGCCAGCAGGACATGGGCACAGGCACGCAAGCTCCAGACCTTTCCTGAGGTGCCTGCCAGATAGCAGGGCCCAGAGCCGGCTTAGTTCTTCCCTCTGGCAGCCAGACCACCAGCCGCAAGCCCTGCTGTCTGGCCTGCTGGGCATCTACCCCATGCCCACCTTGCTTCCTTCCTTGCTGCTGTGTTGATATGGTAGGAGGAAGGCTGCCAGCCTGCTCCTCATGTTACTGCTTGCTCCCCTCCCCTCGGTCCATGGGGGCCTCACACCTTGACTTCTGGCCTATGGTGTCACCTTTGGCTAGGTTGTGCCGGGGAGAGGGAGGAGTCTGGCTTCTTGCTCATCCTCCTCTGAGCCCTGCTGTTGGCCTCTGAGCTCACCAACAGATGGGCACCTGGATGTGTGTGTGCATGCAGGGGGCAAGGCCAAGCCCCGCCATTGGCTGCCTGGCGACCCAGTGCATGGCTTCATGGAAGGCGAGTACTGGCCTCTGCAATGTGGAGGGCCTTGCTGCTCCTGCTGCCAGGATTGTCCTGGTGCTCTGAGCTGGCCCCAGACTGTCAGCACTGGCACCAGCTCAGAACCAGCTCCCCATGCCCACTCTGGAATGAGAGCAGGGGGCCATCACATAGTTCCTGGAAGGGAGCTGCTGCCCAGTGTCTGCACACCCCAATGAGAGGAGAAGGTGTTCAAGGCCTTAATTATGTACCGTTGGGCAAAGGGTTTTGTTCAGAAGGACAAGCTGGACAAATGTGCAAATTCTGTGCTTCCAGAGGGAGACAAAGGGGGTTGAGAGCCTGGCTGATGGCATTAAAGTCTGTTTCCGAGCCCCTGGGGATTCCTGTTGGATCCCAATCGGGGCAGAGTGGGACCAGCCTCACATTCCACTGATGCAGGGTGTCACTGCTTGGAGCCTATTTATTTCATATTTATTTGAACAGAGTTATGTCCTAACTATTTTTATAGATTTGTTTAATTAATAGCCTGTCATTTTCAAGTTCATTTTGTATTCATATTTATGTTTGTGGTTGATTGTACCTTCCCTACACCCTCTAGGCCGGGTGGGGAGAGGAAGGAGGGGCTGTGGGAGTGACCTTTCCCCGCCACTGGCCACACTGACGTCAAATCTGTCCAAAGAAATTCCTCAGAACTGGCGACAAATAAAAAAAGGTCAGATCGGGAGGGGCCCTGGCCAGGGGGAGATGACTGTGGGCAGGTTGGGACAGGGTTCACACCCAGGAAGCCTTAGGGTCTGAGGGTTTGACCAGCAGCAGGAAGAGTGGCAGAAATCTCAATTCCATCAAAGATGGAGGTCCACATCATTTCTTGGGCTCGGAGGATCTGTTTCATCCTTTAGCACAACAAGCGCCAAGGGTCCTATCACTGTGAGATTGGGGTGGGGAGGAGAGGAGAGGGCGGCTAGCACCGCCCTCCTGCCTGTGAATCGGGCTCCCTCCTTTCCTGCCACCACAACCCCTGCTCAGCAATGCTGGTAAACTTGCGACTCTCAGGGTCGCACTTCCATTCCACCAGAATGGCCTGGTGAGGACAACTCAAATAGGATGCAAAGATCAATGCAAAAATTGTTATATAAAAATCTAGCGATAACTGGAATTTGTGAAAAAGCAAATTAAGAAAGGATTGGAAGTTGTCATTTAAAAAACAGCCTTCTAATAAAGTTGTTTTCAAAGCTGATGACAGAGCCATGGTTTTTCTGATATGGGCTTGTTGGGTTGGGGGGGCTTTGCGTGTTAGAAGATGAATCCATGTTTGCCATCAGAAAATGAGAAAGCTTCCCTCTCCGGGCTTCTTGGAGGCACTGCCTCTTTAAAGTGGGTGCTTGTAGGATTTGGGGTGCTCTGCCCAGGTCACCGGAGCCTGGTGGTCCTTCCTCAGCCCTTCTCTGAAGTCTGTCCTGGGCGGAGCTGATCACTCCCTACCCCTGAAGCACCTGCAGATGCTGCTGTGCTGTCCATTCGCTGGCTGCCCCCCTCCCAGCCTCACTGTTACACACTTGCACACTTAGAGTCTTGAAGGACCCCACCTGGCATTCTCGGTTTGTTCTCTGTCTTCCCAGGAGGAGATGAGGCCTCTGAGGCAGGGAATGCATTTGTGGCATTCTCTTCAGCACTCAAGACAGTGCAGATGCCATTTTCATTAAAAAACTATCCACCCTTTGTCTCCTCATGGCCCCAGGCACCATGGGTCAGGGCAGCAGCAGACTAGGAAGCAGCTGGGGGAACCCAGGAGGGGGTGTGGCATCCAGAGACTGTAGGGAGGCACAGAAGTGTGCCCAGGTTTGAGAGTGGTATATACCACTTGTCCTGGGTCAAATTACATCCCCCCCAAAACTCCTGTCCCCTGGGAACCTCAGAATGTTGCTTCACTTGGAAATAGGGCTCATGCGGATGTAATCAAGTTAAAATGAGGTCACACTGGATTACAGTGAGCCCCAAGACCAATGAGTGGTGTCCTAGAACAGGGGACTTTGGACAGACAAGCCCAGAGGAGAAGGACAGGGAAGAGGCCACGTGATCACAGGACAGGCACCTCCAAGCCAAGAAACACCGGGAATTGCAGGGGGCCACCTGAAGCCAGGAGAGCGGGAAGTAGTTTCTTCTTCAGCCTGTCCAGAAGGACCCAACGGCTGCCAGAACCTGAATTCCAGACTCTGGGCCTCCTGAACGAACTATGAGAGAATTTTTGTTGTTTGGGGTCATCTAAGTTTGTGATGCTTCGTTAATAGCAGCCCTGGGGAAACTAATATGCCACCTGCTTCAGTTGTTCATTGCCAGGGTAACAGGCAGAAACCATTTCCCAATGATTGGGTCTTGGTAAGTGGATCCCCTTTACTCTGAACCTGCTCTCCCAACCAAATGTCCCATAGTATGGTAAGCAGAGTCACACCCCCTCCCAAAGATATCCCTGGCCTAATCCCCAGAACCTGTGACCTAGGTTACAAGGCATGGGGCAATCAAGTTTGCTAATCAGCTGACCTTAAAATAGGGAGATTATCCTGGATTATCCCTGTGGGCCCCACAGAATCACATGGGTCCTTCAATGGGAGGGCCAGGGAGAAGGCACAGAAAGGACTGAGCCCACGGTCACGGGCTCTGAAGATGGAGGAAGGGGCCACGAGTCAAGGAATGTCGATGGCTCCTAAGAGCTGGAAGAGATGAGGAATGGAATCTTCACGGAGAGTCTCCAAGAGGAACATGGCCCTGCTGATGTACTGATTTTAGCCTAGTAAGACACATGTCAGGCTTCTGACCTCCAGAACTGTAACTGTAAGATAATAATTTTGTACTGGTTAAGGCTCTATGCCTGTGCTGGCTTGTTACAGCAGCAATAGGAAACACACACACACACACACACACACACACACACACACACACGGTTAGCTCTGAACTTCTTCCATCTGGGCTAAGAGCCTCCCCTGGGTTGGGGTTTGCCTCCAGCTGGCACTTTGCAGGTGGGGTATGCAGGGTATGGTGACCTAGGACGGCCCGGGCTCCAGCCTGGCTCCTGGCCCATCTGAGTAGGTGGCTGGCACTGAAGCCCCAGGAGCACCCTGTCAGGGGCCAGCAGACCCCTACTGCTCCACCAGAAAGCCCAAGCACTGTGGGCACCACCACCACCCCCGCCCTGCCCCAGGTACTCAGGCCTGTGTAGATGGCATCCAGCCACCCACCTACTGTGAGATTATGGCTGGAGAGCCTGGAGCAGTCTGGGGAACGGGGGATGTGGGAGCTGCAGAGAGCCTGTCTGACTTCCCACGGACAGACACCAGGACAGTGGAAATCCCTGCCCCACGGTGGCAGAGGGGCGGCCTTGGGCAAGTCACACCTCCTCTCTGAGCCCATGTCCATTAGATCAAGAGAGTAAGGCTTGCCTGGAAGTGTTGTTAGAAAGTTGGAGTGAGGGGATCCCTGGGTGGCTCAGCGGTTTGGCGCCTGCCTTCGGCTCAGGGCATGATCCTGGAGACCCAGGATCGAATCCCACGTCAGGCTCCCTGCATGGAGCCTGCTTCTCCCTCTGCCTGTGTCTCTGCCTCTTTCTCTCTCTCTCTCATGAATAAATAAATAAAATCTTTAATTTTAAAAAAAAAAAAAGAAAGAAAGTTGGAGTGAGGGGTACCTGGCTGGCTGGTGGATGGAGCCGGGGACTCTTGATCTCAGTGTAATGAATTCAAACCCCATTTTGGGTGTACAAATTCCTTAAAAATAAATTTCTTTTAAAGACTTTATTTACGGGATCCCTGGGTGGCGCAGAGGTTTGGCGCCTGCCTTTGGCCCAGGGCGCGATCCTGGAGACCCGGGATCGAATCCCACGTCGGGCTCCCGGTGCATGGAGCCTGCTTCTCCCTCTGCCTATATCTCTGCCTCTCTCTCTCTCTCTCTCTCTCTCTCTCTCTCTCTCTCTCTCTCTGTGTGACTATCATAAATAAAAAAAAAAAAGACTTTATTTATTTATTTGAGAGAGAGAGAGAGAGGGAGAGCACAAGCCAGAAGGAGAGGGAGAAAGAAGCAGGCTCCCTGCTGAGCAGGGCTCCATGTTGGGCTTGATCTCAGGACTCGGGATCATGACCTGAGCCAAAGGCAGATGCTTAAATGACTGAGCCACACAGGTGCCCCTAAAAATAAAATCTTCAAAAAAATGTGGGGTGCCCGAGTAGCTCAGTTAAGTGTCCAACTCATGATTTCAGCTTAGGTCATGATCCTAGTGTTGTGGGATGGAGCCCTATGTCAGGCTCTGAGCTCAGCACGTGTCCGCTTGTCCCTTCCCTGGGCCCACATGCTCTCTCTTGCTCGCTCTCAAATAAAGAGAATCTTAAAAAAAAAATGTTAGCCATAAATTATTTTTTAACAAGTTGGAATGAAAAGTAACATTGTGTGTCAACTAAAATCTAAAAAATAATTTTTTTTATAAAGAATATTGAAATGATGGGACACCTGGGTGGCTCAGCGGTTTAGCGGCGCCTTCGGCTCAGGACGTGATCCTAGAGACCCAGGATCGAGTCTCACATCGGGCTCCCTGCATGGAGCCTGCTTCTCTCTCTTCCTGTGTTTCTGCCTCTCTCTCTTTCTCTCATGAATTTAAAAAAAAAAAAAAAAAAAAAAAGGAACATTGAAATGAGACAGGAAATTTAAATAACTGGTCCTTAAAAACCAGCTCCCCTTCCCCATCCAGGATTCTACACACACAGCAATTTCACCCTCGGTGCTTGTCAATCCAGCCTCTGATGCAAAGAGCTTTGCACATGTCTGGGATCTCTGGCACCTGAAGATATCCAACCTGGGGGAGGGGGAGGAGCCATTTGTGCTGCAAGATCTGGCAACTCCTCTTCATGCCTCCTTCCTGAAGCTAAGCCCTCCCATCTCTAATCCTAAGGGCACCAGCTAGGGCACGGCACACACAGGACTTAGCTTAGCCCTCAGAGGTTCGAGGAGGTATTGCAATGGCCATGACCCCATTTTACAGATGAAGAAACTAAGTCTGGGATGCCTGGGTTGCTCAGTGGTTAGGTGTCTGCCTTTGGCTCAGGGCATGATCTCTCAGGGTGAGGTCCTGGGATCGAGTCCCACATCGGGCTCCCTGCATGGAGCCTGCTTCTCCCTCTGCCTGTGTCTCTGCCTCTCTCTGTGTGTCTTTCATGAATAAATAGATAAAATATCAAAAAAAAAAAAAAAAAAAAAACTATGTCTGGGGGAAAAAGTGACTTGGCCAGGGCCTCACCATGAGTAGGTGACAGGGCCTCACATGCAGGTCAGCAGACCCCTGGGGTTTGCTGGGGCTGCCTGTCAGGAGGCCCAGGAGGCAGGGAACATGTTCGACCCACCTGTGGGGACTTACACCCAGGAGCAAGTGCTCTTTGCCTCATCTTAGGCACGTGGCATCCAGTCCCTGGCTACTCTCCTGGGTCAGGAGGCCACAGACAGCCTGGGAAGCATTGGGCAGGCCTGTGCTTGAATCCTGGCACCTTGCTGTGTGATCTTAGGCAAATCTGCCTCTCTGGGCCTCAGTTTCCTTACGATCAAGATGGGCACAGTACCTTCCTGACAGCTCAGAAGGGGAAGGGACTTGTCCGGGTTCATACAAAGGCTAAGTAAATGTTGAACTGAGATTCAAACCAGCTTTGTTGACTCTGAAGCCATGTTCTCAACCTTGGCTCCCAGCTGGGCCACCCACAGTCCCGATCGTACTGGTCTGAGCAAGTTGGAATGTACGGGAAGGGAGAGGGGAGCACCTGTGTGCTCAGCTCAGCAGCCCAGGTGTGGACCTTGGTCCCTGCCCTCTGGGCTAATGAGGAAGCTGGAGCAGGCCAGCGAGGGCTGGTCACGGTGGCTGGAAAGACTGGTCAGGGCTGGCTAGGAAGGGACAGCAGGAGGGATGCAATGGGGCAGGGACCAAGGTCCCTCCCCTTGGTTTTACCTTCCAAACCAAGGATGGGTAAACTGAGGCCAGAGAGGGCCAGAGGCCTGTCCTCAGACAGATGGGGGCCTCCTGCTTGCAGTTTCCTGGAACAGCAGCTGGCCGGGGTTGCCACCAGCCACCTCTTTTGGCCACTTGCCGTGGCCCATCCACACCACCCCTTATCTCCCCACAGCAGCTGTGGATGCTGCTGAGAGAGGGGGCTGGATCCACTCTTGCCCACCAGGGCGAGCACCCTGCTCCAGTCTAGCCTCACCCCTCATTTTCCAGAGGAGGAAACTGGCAGCCCAGGCAAGGGACTTACCAGAGGCCTCTAGACCCCCTGTGGCTGATTCTCCACCTCCCCCCCACACCACCACACTGGCTTGGATCATGTGTATTCATGTCCTATGGCTGCTGTTCCAAAGTGCCACAGTGTGGCATCTTAAGACAAAACAAATCTATTCTCTGCCAATGATGGAGGCTGAAAGTCCAAACTCAATTTTACTGGGCTGAGATCAAGGTGTGCGCTGGGCGGGTTCTTTCTGGAGACCCCTAAGGAGAGGCCGTCTCCTTGTCCCTAAGGGTTCTGGGGGTGTCATCATTCCTCAGCTCGTGGCCCCTTCTCGAATCTCCCCAGGCACAGCTTCTCATCTCTTCTGGAGTCACACCTTCCTCTGATAAGGGATTATGATTATATTACATTTAGGGCCTACCTCAGCAATCCAGGAAAATCCTTTCATCCCAAAATCATTAATTTAATCACATCTACAAATGCCCTTGACCCCATGAGCTGACAGTCACAGGTTCCAGGGCGTAAGACCTGAACATATTGGGGTCATTATTCAATCCACCACACCACTCCCCCGCTGCAAACCCTGTTCCTCATTAGACACTTCTGCCCGGCAAAATCCCATTTGACTGGTGAAGTAAATTAGGGAACAGAAAAAAAAAATTAGGGAACAGTCATCCGATGGAACTTGGCTACTGTGGAACACCACACAGTCATCAGGACTCATACGGGAGGGGCGTCCAGGTGGCTTAGTCGGTGGGCATTTGCCTTCAGCTCAGGTCATGATCCTGGAGTCCTGGGATCGAGTCCTGTGCCGTGCTCCCTGCTTGGCAGGGAGTCTGCTTCTCCTTCTCCCTCTACCCCTCCCCCTGTTCCTTCTTCCGCTCTCAAATTAAAAAAAAAAAAAAAAACAGTAAGAGAAAACAGTTGCTGATCTGGAATATGTTCACAATCCAAATTTTTACTTGAAAAAAGGAAAAAATTGGGGATCCCTGGGTGGCTCAGCAGTTTAGCGCTTGCCTTTGGCCCAGGGCATGATCCTGGAGTCCCAGGATCGAGTCCTGTGTCGAGCTCCCTGCGTGGAGCCTGCTTCTCCCTCTACCTGTGTCTCTGCCTCTCTCTCTCATGAATAAATGAATACAATCTTAAAAAAAAATGAAAAGAAAAAAGGAAAAACTTACCTAGAGAGAGAGGAACAATAAGACACTGTGTTAAGATTGCAGATTCTGGAGCCAGGAGATCTGAGTTCAGATCCCACCTCTGCCACTTACTAGCTGTGTGACACTGGACAATTCACTTAACCTCTCTGAAGACTGTTTTCTCATTTGTAAAATAGGGTTGCAAAGATTAAATAAGGTAAAATATGTAAAGTGCTTAAAATAATGCTTGCTGGGCAGCCCAGGTGGCTCAGCAGTTTAGCGCCACCTTCGGCCCAAGGCATGGTCCTGGAGACCCGGGATCAAGTCCCACATCGGGCTCCCTGCGTGGAGCCTGCTTCTCCCTCTCCCTGTGTCTCTACCTCTCTCTCTCTGTATCTCTCATGAATAAATAAATGAAATTTAAAAAATGAAATAAAATAAAACAATGTTTGCCATAAAATGGGCCCCCTGTAATGGACATATTTCTTTTATGAAATATAAATTATATTTATACCTATTTATGTCTGCATACACACACACATGCACCTATATGTAAACTACATAAAGATTAATCTAGAAGGCTATATTCCCCCAATTTTTAAAAAAGATTTTATTTATTCATGAGAGACACAGAGAGGCAGAGACACAGGCAGAGGGAGAAGCAGGCTCCATGCAGGGAGCCAGATGTGGGACTTGTTCCTGGATCGTGCCCTGAGCCAAAGGAAGAAGCTCAACCACTGAGCCACCCAGGTGTCCCCTCCCCCAAATTTTTAAGTGGTCATACCTCTAGGTTGGTGGGACTGTAAACTATTGGTATCATCTTTTTGATTATCTGAGTTTTGTTCATGTACAATACTTAATCATTTGCATAATCAAAGTGAAATTTTAAATTTTAAAAATCTAACAGAAAAGCAAACGAGAATCTTCCCGAATCTTAGAGCCCCAGCTGTGGCTTACCCTCCCCAGGGAGACCTCCCTGACTCCCAGGGCAGAAGGATCTTTCTGTTCTCACGACTCCTCTCTTCTTACTTCCTGGAGCTCTTGACCATGAGCTTGAGGACCCCGGGTGGGAACAGAGCAGGGAGCGTGTTCCGAGCTAGCAGACCCCACTGGCTGCATAAAATGCCCATACATGTCAACTGTGCCCATTGACTCTCTGCAGGCTTTCCATCTCTGACCACACCAGCTCCACGAAGGTTAACTGACTTCCAAGGGCTTACCCAGGGATGGGTAAGGTAGTGGCAGGGTTCCTACCTCAGGCCTTCTGCTGCCATCAAGGCCAGAGAGCACATGCCTTGATCTAAGCGTGACCACAATGCGGCAGAGGCTCTTGGCTTGGGGCCCTTTCCCCTGAGAGGTGTGGCTTTTCCTGCCTGCCTATTTTCAGATCCTTATCTGCTAAACCCATTTTACAGATGAGCAAATAGAGTCTCTGGATAACATTGTCGACAAGATGCAATTCTGAAGTTGGTCACAAGGTGACAGCATGAGGCCTTGTTTCGCATCCTCCGCTGCCCTCTAGTGGTTAGGGGGGAAAATACACCCAGGGGCTGGCCAAGGAACATTTGGGAAAACTCAGGCAGGATTGTCACCAGGGATGGAGGAGGGGGATGCTCAGTGAAAAAAGTTTCTCCAGCCCCAGCCATTGGGAACAGGTCTAGCTAGTATAGTCCCTGGACTTTCCATTAGGGTGACCATTCAGTGGAGGTGGGTGTGGAGGGTGCTGCCTGCCGCAGCACAGGGTAAAAGCCCCAGTCAGGAGTCAGGTCCCTATCTCCAGCATGGCTCTGCCACCAATGGATTCTCCTCTGCAAGATGCAGAGACAGAAAAAATCTCTCTGTGAAAATAGGGAGAAGGTAGGTGACTGGGGCCTGGCCTGCACCCAAGCCTCCTTAGCCAGACCAGGCCTTGGCGGGAAAGCCAGGCTGGGAGACATGATCACTGGTCGGAGCAAGAGGGGCAGGGAGCACAGGGTGGTGAGACCCTCCCCTGGCCACGGGGTCACAAACAGGTATCTGCAAAGAGAAGGGAAGGGGCACAGGGATGCAGGGAAGGCCCTCCCTGGGGGACCCATAGCGCTGCTGGCCCAGTTCCTATCTGGTGGAGGGAGGCTCTGGGATCCACAGGCCATGCCAGATCCCTGGAGCAAAGGCCTTTCAGGACTTAAGGCCTGACTCAGGGGGACCCTGTCTGGACACAAGGGTGGCTCTTGGAGGTGGCCTCCATGGCTCCTCATGCCACAGACTGATGTGGCCTCAGGCCCTGGCTGCTTCCTCCCACAGGAGAGACACTCCCAGGGAGACAGAAAGGGGATCAGGCTGGTGCTCCCCCTGGCCTGGCTGGTGGGCTACAGCGCATGCATACAGAGGAGCCCTCTGCAGCTGTGACAGAGCTGGTGTGACATGTGCTGACACAGACAGAAGCCCATGATGGGTATGAGAACAGATTAGCAGACTGTTTCTGCAAGAGAAACTGAGGCAGCTGCTTCCAAACGTTAGGCTATTTGCCTCCAGAGTACTCACCATCTCTCTACCTTATCTGAGTGTTTGCCATCACAAGGGACATTAATTATTTTCAGGTTTTAAAAAAATGGAAGACAATATGGGTGTCCGGGTGGCTCAGTTGGTTACGTGTCAGCCTTCAGCTCAGATCATGATCCCAGAGTCCCAAGATCGAGCCCCACAGGGAACCTGTTTTTGCCCCTCCTGTGATTTGTGCTCTCTCTCTGTCAAATAAATAAATAAAATCTTAAAAATAAATAAAGAAAGAAAATAAAATTATCAGACTCTCCTGAGAGGTCTGGGGGAGTCGGAGAGCCCAGTGAGTAGAGTTTGGCCCACTGGCCACCTGTCAGGCCTCTGGAGACCACTGTGTTCTTCATCTACCAGAACCAGGGTAATGGCACCCCCTGACCCAGGGCGCTCTGCTCAGAATGGGACTCTACTTATTGCCCCCCTGGCTCCCAGAGCTGGCTTTTCCCTACAGACCCCTGTCCCAAGGCCCCCTACCCAGGGCTGGGACTGAAGCCACTCTAGCCCCTGCCCCGAGAGGGGCGTCCTTCTCCTATTCAAACCCTTGCAATTTCCCCTTGAGGTGGAGCCTATCATTATGCCCATTTGACAGATGAGGACATGGAGGCTCAGAGAGGGTGTCACTGCCCAGAGTCCCACAGTAAGTGAGGGGCAGAACTGGACCTGCACCCTGGCACATCTCAAGCCTCTTGGCTACTTATCCTGGTGTTCCAAGGTCTATGTGACACAAAGCCTGCTAAGTCCTTCACCCCAGGCCTGACACCCAGTAGGCACCGGACAAACAGCAGCTCCGACCAGGGCTGGGCATGGCCTCGTTCTGAAGCCTCTGTTAACCAGCAGTCACACACAGCACTCCGGCACAAACCCCCAGGACAACACCACCACCACCAAGGCAGCAGCAAACCTTTCTTTATTGCAAACGTGACACGCAGTCCCAGGGGAACCTGGGAAGCAGGAACCAGGAGGAGCCAGGGATGAAATCTTCTAAAGCCAGACTGTTCCCGCTTCCTCTGTGGACAGAGCAGCCCCTGAGAGTCCCAGAGAAGAGCTGAAGAGAGGGAGGCCCCAGATAGGGGGCAGGGGTGGGTCAGCCACCTGGGGCTGAGGAGTAGCCTTCTGTGGCCCTCAGGGGATATGTCTGGTGTGAGAATTGAGGGAGCTGGAGGGCTGGGGGTGGGCAAGAGGCAGAATGATCACGCCTACCCCCACCCCCACCCTCCACCACAGCACAGCACCAAGTGCTGACCCAGCAGTCCTGGTCTCCGGCAGCCGGTGTTTCTTCTGCTGCCTCCCTGAGGACACTCGGGTCACTGGGGGGCCTCAGCAATGGCCTTCTCCACACGCAGGTACCAGGGCTGGATGCGGGTATGACGCATCAGGTCATCAAAGGCCTCCAGGCCCTCCATCACACGCAGCACACCATACACTGCCTGCGGGTGGGTACAGAGTGGGTGTCCACACTGCCCTGTCCTCCACCAGCTGTGTGCCCTGGGGCCCATCACCCTCCTCTCTGAGAGGGCTCACTGGGGCTTTGGGTGAAGAGTGTGGGATTTCTATAGGTTTTTGCCTACCCTGCACCCACACTCCCTATCTGGGCAACAAACTCCACCTCCAGAATTTCCTTTGGAAAAATGTCTGACCCCACTCTTAGGTCCTGAGATTTGAGGATCGGGGACCCAACCACCCAGCTCTAAGATTTGGACCTGGCAATCAACATATTCCACCCTGACTTGAAGAATTGCTTCAAGGCTTGGCATTGAAGCCAGGCCAACAAGACAGTGTCCCCAGACTTTTGTCGGGTGTAAGCATGGAGCATGGGACCCAGGTCTGCCTCAGGCTAAAGCCAACTCCAAGGGGTTGAGATGCAACAGGTGAGGCTGAGCCCTGGTAATATCACTTGAGCCTCTAGATCCAGCTGGGCCTGAAGCCAACCCTCCACCCCCACCCTGAACCTGTCAGTTATGTGAAGCAAGACAGTTCCTCGTATGGAGCCAGGTGCCTCCAGAGTGGGAATGCTGTGAGATATAGGTATTGCCTACATGTGGGCTTCCTCTGCCCAAACAGGTCCCTCAAGTCTGGGCACCCCCTGCCACCACCACACTCACCAGATCAGCCAGGTTTGGCTTCTGGCCCCCCAGGAAGGGTCGGTCTTTGCCCACGGCTGCCACCCACTTGTCGGCAGCCTCATAGAGGTCCTCACGAACGTCATCCTGGAGGTGATGCCTAGGTGTGGAGGGGAAAGTCCATCAGGGGAACTCCAACCCTCCCCCCAGGTTGGGAAAACAGGAAGGCTAGGGAGCCAGGGCTGCTCCCCTGAGGGGCACTGCAATAATCAGTTATCATCTGCCCCAGACAGGGAGGCCAAGACCAATGGACAAGAGACCCAACACAGAGAAAAGAGCAGAAAAAGGCATAAAGCAGGCATCTAGGCCAGTCTGCTTCCCCTGGGGTGGTGGAGGCAACTGGGAGTTCTGACTTTGAGTCTTGGCTCAGCTTATATGAGGGGCTCAGGGACAGTGGGCCCCCAGGCGCGTACACGCACACGCACACGCACACGCACACAGGCACCATCACCTGCTCTTGAGCCGCTTGCTGATGAAGTACATGGCAGCTGCACCCATGTACTTGGCCACGGCACCCTCCACTGCCCCGAACTTGCCCTCCCTGACAATGTAGTCAAAGGAAGCCAGGGCCTCAGCAGGAGTGCGGTACACGTTGGGAGAGATCAGGTGCACCAGCCAGTCATCTGCCCACTGCCGCCACTTCATCTCCTCCCTGTGGACAAGGTGGGAGGACAGAGAGGGGGACAGAGGGCAGGCCAGGTAGGCTGTCAAGCCAGGGCCTGGGAGGTGTGGGAGCAGGTGCACTGTCTACACACTGTTTCCTGCTCACAGTGTCTCGCTCAGTCTGTCCCCACTCCCACCCCTACCCGGAAGACCCTGCTCCCGCCACCTCCTGGGACCTGCCCCAGCCTCACTTACGTCCTCGCCTCCTTCCCACCATACAGGTGCTGGGCCTCTTTCTCATCTAGCATGAGCCAATACTTGTTGCAGAATTCAGTCACTTCCTTTCCCTGGTCGTTCACAGCCTTCATGGGTGGATAGTAGGTGATAATGTCTTCCAGGGGCTGCCTTTGGGAGACATCGAGAGTCTCACCCCAACTACATCCTCCTCTGGGAGGCTGAGCTGTCACCGGCTCAGGGTAGATATCTACCCTGGCCGGACCAGCTCTGGGGCAGAACCAGGACCAAGCCAACAGAAGCTTTCTGCCCTCTGGTGGTGCCAGAGGAGGTCCTGCAGCAAGCAGGGCTTGGGGCAAATACCAGAAGCACTTCCCTGACAGAGCAAGATGTACAGAGGAGAGAAGGGGGCTCTCAGAGTAGAAACGATCCTGCAGCAGCCCCACCCTGCTCCCCCGGAGGGACCCAGGCAAGGCCTCTCAGGGGATAAAAGGGACAAAATGTAGTGCCAGCCTGGGCCTCTGAGGGGCTCCTTACCCCGACACCAGGTAGGTCTTGAGAGCACTGATGATGACAGAGGAATCGTTCAGTTGTTGCTGGAGGACAAGAGGTTGGTTTAAATTGGGGGAGTGGGCAGGGGTTGCCTGGCCACCAGCAGGATCATCAGGGTTCTTTAAAAATAAACACCAGGCATTTAAGGAAATTGGGTGGAACCCTGGCATTGTTTGTCCATCCCTGGGGGTTCATCCTCCCAAAATCGATGCCCACTGAGCCTAGTCCCTGCCCATCCCCTCAGACCCATCCTGAGTAAGGGAGACCCAAGTGTGGCTAATGGGAAGGAGGGTTTAGGGAGGACCTAACGTCTGGGCCCTGCCCACTCACCTGCCTGCCCTCCCAGGCACTGAGGGGCAGGGTGGACTCTAGAAGCTACACCCTAGGAGCCAAGCACTATGGTCCTCTGTTAATTAATGAAGAAGCAAGCTCAGAGAGGCTAAGTGACTGGCCCCAAGTCACATAACCAGGGAGAGGCAGAGCCCCACCTTGAGCCCAGGCCGCCCTGATTTCAGAGCTTACACTGTTGACCTCTGTGATGCTCTGCCTCCCTTAGGCCCAGCTGGTTCATAATCCTTAGCGAGGCCCAAAGAGTCCACATTCTTCTAGAGTTGCAGAGCAGGGCCTGACTCGGGGGTACCCCAGGACAAGCCAGGACACAGGGGGTTGCTCCCTGAGGCTCACCAAACTCTCTCCTTCCTGGGCCAGCAGGATGGGCACCTTTCTGTAGGAGGAGAACTTGATCTCGGCCCTGCGCACGGGGTTCACTTCCACCACCTGGTAGGGCAGGGCGTGGAAGTCGAGGAAGGCACGGACCTTGCTGCAGAAGGGGCATGTTTTGTACTGGTACAGGGTCAGCTGCAGGCGACTGGACAGGGAGAGCTGGGTGGGGAGCAGAGGGAGGGGGGCATCTGAAGCCTGGTGCCCAGGCCCCCACCCTTAAGCAAACTTCTCCCAAGGGAGTCTCTGAGGATGACCTTGAGACCCTCAGATGGAATGGTGAGGGGGGTGGGGTAGGTGGCAGAGAGCTCATACCACACCCCCCTCAGGCAGGAAGTATATGGTAGGATGGATGAATCTTCAGGTCTCTGTTCAACATCAGACACCTCTCCTCCTTTTTTTTTTCCTTTTAAAAGATTTTATTTATTTATTCATGAGAGACAACAGAGAGAGGCAGAGACACAGGTCGAGGGAGGAGAAGCAGGCTTCAGTGCAGGAGCCCGATGCGGAACTCGATCCCAGAATTCTAGAAGCAAAGGCAGACGCTTAACCACTGAGCCACCCAGGCATCCCTCTCCTCATCTACTGTCCCAAGACCATATCATACATCTCCAATGTGCCACTCAAGATGCAGGGCAATTGTTTCAACTTGGAGGACCCACCCCCACTCCCTCCACCCAAGGGACGTCTGGGTAAGGGGGCAGAGCCCAGCATTTTCCGGAGCAGGGTCTACCTCAAATCTCCAAAGTGGGGAGGGTTGTATCTGGGCCTTGGGCCTGTATCTGTGAGTTCAGCAGGTAAGCCCCAGGTAAGCTTGCTACATATTCATGTTTAAAAGCCACAACAGGGGGATCCCTGGGTGGCGCAGAGGTTTGGCACCTGCCTTTGGCCCAGGGCGCGATCCTGGAGACCCGGGATCGAATCCCACGTCGGGCTCCCTGCATGGAGCCTGCTTCTCCCTCTGCCTGTGTCTCTGCCTCTCTCTCTCTCTGTGTGTGTGACTATCATAAATAAATAAAAATTAAAAAAAAAAAAAAGCCACAACAGGGGTCCCTGGGTGGCTCAGTTGGTTAAGCATCTGTCTTCAGCTCTGGTCATGATTCCAGGGTCCTGGGATCAAGCCCCACATTGGGTTCCCTGCTCAGCGGGGAGCCTGCTTCTCCCTCTGCCCCTCTCCCTACTGATGCTTTCTTTCTCTCAAATAAATAACAAATAAATAAACAAACAAACAAATAAATAATAAATGCATGCATGCATGCCACAGCAGCAGTCCCCCTCCATCACTGTTCAGATGCGACACTGAAGCTGGACCATGGTTGGTGGTGGGCAGAGAGATAAGAGAATCCCACTCCCCTCCTACCACCCTATTTCCCTGGGCCCAGGGAAGGGGCACCTGTGGGTGGATGGTGGTCATTTTGGTGCTGTGTATGGAGGGCTGCAAGGGCACCTGGACCACCACCCAGCTAGTGGACACCTCCTTGCCACTCTCTGTCTCAGGGCCTGTAATCTAGGGGTCATCGGTTCTCTGTCTCAGGGCCTAGAATCCAGAGAATCCAGGGGTCGTGTGTTCCCTAAAAATATTAACACTAATAAACGAATACATAACCTTATGATGTGAAGACAGTGGGAGGGTTTGGGGAACGTTTATTACTTTCCAAAAGACAAAATGTTTAGAAAGTAATGAACTCTGAAGGAGGCTTTCTTTCCCTTTCTTGTAATCTCCAAATCTTTCCATTAAAAAGGTCTGAAAACACGATAGAAAATCACCTTAAGGGGATCCCTGGGTGGCTCAGCGCGGTTTAGCGCCTGCCTTTGGCCCAGGGCTTGATCCTGGAGTCCCGGGATCGAGTCCCGTGTCGGGCTCCTGGCATGAAGCCTGCTTCTCTCTCTCTCTCCCTCCCTCTCTCTCTCTCCCTCTCTCTCATAAATAAATAAATAAAATCTTAAAGAAAAGAAAAGAAAACCACCTTAAGACAAAGACAACAATACTAGTTAGCTGGCATCAATGGCGACCCCATTGCACAGATGAGGACGCTAAGTGCTCAGAGACCTAAAACCAAGTCACTTGCCCAAGGTCACGAACGGACGGAAGAGGGGATACCCGACCCCACCAGAAGTCCCGAAGTTCGGCGCGGATCCCAGCCCGCGGCTCGGCTCGGCTCGGCTCGGCTCGGCCCGGCCTTACCTGCACGGCAGGGCGCTGGGCGCGGAGGTCCTGGGCGCGCAGGTGCCACCGCGCGGTGTGGTACAGCCCCAGGACACCCCCCAGGGCCAGCGCCGCCGCTCCCAGCAGCCGCGGGCTCCCCTTGCGGGCGGTGGCAGCGGGGCCCTGGCCTCCTGCCGCTCCCGCGAAGCCGGCCCGACTGTGCGCGGGGAGTCCCGGCGGGAGGCGACCGCCCAGCCTCCAGGCCAGAGCGTACCGGACCGGCCACGGCGCCCGCGCGACCTGGGCCATGTTCGCTCCGCCGGAGCCGCAGGCGGGCGCGCGAAACGAAGACCGCCGGGGATCAGGCTCCCCTTAAAGGGGCGGGGCTCCGTCGCCGGAGGGTTGCCAGGGGTGACAGTGACGCCGAGAGGGGAAGAACAGCCCCGGAGGGACTGGGCGTGCGTCCCGGGCGCCCAGTTTCCCCGCACTCGTCAGAGCCACAGAAACACTCTGGGATATCTGGGAGTCGCTAAATGCCCGGCTTCTGAACACGCGATGTAACCGCTCTCGGTGGTGACCCGGGGCCCAATGCAGGAACCCGCCATGTGGACTTTGGGTCTCAGCGTCGTCCGGAATGTGTGTTTATTAACTTCTACCTCATGCACCCAATGGAAAGAGACTGAGCCCTTCAGAATGTCTGGGAAAGGGCCACAGCATGGGTCCGGGAGAGCCGCGGAACAGCCGGCCCAGGCCTGGTGCCAGGACTAGGGCTCTTTCTGCCCTCCCGCGCCGCTGCACTGTTTCTTCTGTGTCCCGAACCATAAAATTTTCCATACACACAAGGGGGCCTTAGGGACCACGTGTCTCAGATTTCGCCCACGCGGAGGCGCAGGTTAGCCGACCCGCAGGTCCCCGCCGAGGACGCGCCGAGGGCAGGTGCCAGGCTGTCCCCGCCCCTCTGCGGGGCTCGCTCGCCGTAGCTGAGGGCCCAGGCCCCCCGCACCTAGGCTTCTCGGTGGGCAGCCCCGGATGGCTCCGCCCGACGGCCGGCAGAGGAGCGGGATTCCGGGAAAAGGCGGAGATCCAGGACCGGTCAGGCCGTGGGCGGGTAGAGGGGTGCCACCGCGGGGCGGCGACAGAGCTCGGCTCGCTGGGCGCTGGGGGAAGTGCGAGAGCTCCGGGCGTGGCGGGCGGAGCCTGACGGGGTGGGGCGGAGCCTCTGTGCGGCCGACCCGGGGGTCGGGAGGCGTTCCCCCGCGCCGCCCCCCTGCGCCCCAGCGCGCCACCCTGCTGCTCGGCCTTCCGCCCCGCGCCCGCTGTCCGCTCGACGGTCGCCGCCTTCCCTCGTCGCGGAGGGCCCGCAATGTCGGGGACCTGGGCTTGCCGGTGGAGGCGGGCGCGGAAGGCGAGGACGACGGCTTCGGGGAAGCAGGTGACCCGGGGGACTGCCGAAGCGACCTTTGCTTTCCCAGGGTTGCCCTCCTGGGAATGGGGGCCGGGGCCAGGCTGGGGGCTTGGAGGGGACCGCAGGAGCCTCTCTCCCCTCGCCCCTGGGTGGGTTGCGGCTGCAGGCGCCGGCCCGGGGGTTCAGGGCGAGCACCCGTGAGTGGGTCCCTGGAAACCCGCAGCATTGAAGAACTGCGGGCAACCCGCCCCGTTTTACAGTCGGGGAAACTGAGGCCACTTCAGGTTCACTCGCCCTTTAGACAGTTGCTCCAGCCACTCCCTGTAGTCCGTGAGCACACGGAGGCTCCTGAGGGGGTGGGGCGGGTGGGCCGTCTTGGCTTAGCAGGAGGGGCTGCCTGGGTGGGCGAACCCGCCCTGCTGAGTCAGCTTCCCCAGCCACCTTGGCTGGTGCGACCCGGAGCCTTGGCGCCTGTGACCTGCTTACAGCGCAGCCTGTTGCCTGCGCAGCACTGCGGTGGGGGGGTGGGGGCGGGTGGGAATGGTGGTGGAGGGAGAACCATCAGCTGTTTTTCACCTTTTCCAACCTGTTTCCCCATCTATAAAACAAGAATAATGAGCAGTATCTCCTGCGTTGAGATGTGTAAGGATTTAATGGAAAAATGAATGGGGACAGACTAGAGGCTAGAGAGTCTTGTGCCATAGAGACTCCTCTTTTTTGCGTGCCTGGCAGCTGCTCCACATTTGCCAACTATGGAATGGAAACTCAGTGACCAGCACCTCCACCAAAATACCTGGCAGAATTTTCCTTTGGTCCTTTTGGTCAAGATTAGGCAGGATATTAGGGCAGTCTCACTGCCCTCTGTCCCTACAGTTTCTTTCTTTCTTTTTTTTATTTTTTTTTTATTTATTTATGATAGTCACACAGTGAGAGAGAGAGGCAGAGACATAGGCAGAGGGAGAAGCAGGCTCCATGCACCGGGAGCCCGACGTGGGATTCGATCCCGGGTCTCCAGGATCGCGCCCTGGGCCAAAGGCAGGCGCCAAACCGCTGCGCCACCAAGGGATCCCCCTACAGTTTCTTTCTTGACTCATTGCAGCCAGGGGCCTCCTGTTTCTGGCCAGCATTGAACAAAGAGCCTTACTTAATGCCCAGGGAACCTCAGTTTTTTTTTACTTTGATATTCCTATTGTAACTTTGTTTCTATTAATTTCTTGTCTTCATGTTCTCATTCTATTTTCTTTGCATTCCATGTTTTCTTTTCTAAACTTTTACTCAGGACACTTTTCTCGTGACTTTGCAGCCTTTCTCTATTCTAAAGCACACACTTGGGCATCCCGGTGGCTCAGCGGTTTAGTGCTGCCTTCAGCCCAGGGTGTGATCCTGGAGTCCCAGGATTGAGTCCCACATCGGGCTTCCTGCGTAGAGCCTGCTTCTCCCTCTGCCTGTGTCTCTGCCACTCTCTCTCTGTGTCTCTCATAAATAAATAAAATCTTTAAAAAAATAAATAAATAGGGGAGCCCCAGTGGCCCAGAGGTTTAGTGCCACTTTCCACCTGGGGCATGATCCTGGAGACCAGGGATCAAGTCCCATGTCAGGCTCCCTGCACGGAGCTTGCTTCTCCCTCTGTCTGTGTCTCTGCCTCTCTCTCTCTGTCTCTGTGTCTGTCGTAAATAAATAAAAAAAAATCTTAAAAATAAATAAATAAATAAAGCACACACTTGAGACTAGGCGTGTCCCTTGTTTGTTGTGAACCTAGCCAGGTATTCAGCTTTGGCTTCAGCTACATCTGGTTGTCTGGCAGAGAGAGCGCTCTTCAAAATGTCCAGGCTCCTGTTCAGCTATGATTGCTTTTCAAATAGATCCTACTCGAGGCACCTGGATAAGGGCTCAGATGGTTGAGCATCTGCCTTCGGCTCCAGTTATGATCTCTGGGATCATGGGGTTGGGATCCTGCGAGTAAGGCTCCCTGCTCAGTGGATAGTCTGTTTCTCCCTCTGCCTTCACCCCTGGTTCTATGTGCATGCATGCACACGCTCTCTCTCCAATAAATAAAATCTTTTAAAAACAACACACACACACACACACACACACACACACACAAATAGATCCTGATCAAGGCCCACTTGGGTTGCAGAGAGACAACAGAAAGACTGGTCACCCCTCCTTGCCTACTTGGAGCAGCAGCCTCTCTTGGGCCACTGCCCCCTCTCTTCTCTCTTCAGCAGCAGCTGAGCCAGCCAGCTGCCTTGACTTTTCTTGGCAATAGTCTAACTCTAGTCCATAATCTCCAAGGTCAGAAGTCAGCCCTCCATCTTCCCCACGACTTTAAAATAGGCCTCTCTGGGCAGGAGCTGGAGAAGCAGCTCCCTCCCCACTCTGCTCCTAGTAGGGATAATTCATAGATAGAAGGGGAGAGACTCCAGTCAGGGAGGGGAAGGACCCCAAGGCCCTCCGGGAGACCTACTTCCCACTGCTCCTAATACGGCACACGCCCCCTCAAGAAAACACTTGGTGTACACTTGGGACCTCGTGGGAGCCCTTAGCCATGCAGGAAGGGGAGCATTGTGAGGCAGCACAAGAAGGAGACACCAGAAGGCCGGGCTCCCGCATTGCAGCCACAGCACCTTCCAGGGCACCCAGAAGCCCTGTGTGGGACAAAGCAGAGCTCTGAAGCCCCTCTGCTGGCGAGATGAGGAGCTCTTTGAGCAGCTCAACTGCAGCTGCGCACACAGGCCAGACTGCCCAGGACCAGTGAACCCAAGTCCCTTTGTAAGCAGATATGTGGTATGAGGCACACAACAGATAGGGCCTGGGGTGTGAGAAGAAAGGGTCTGAGTGGGTCAAGGGGACTTTGGCAGATTGAAAACTGCACCCCCCACAAAAGATATAATCATTTTCTAATTCCTGGAACCTGTAAATGTACCTTTATTTGGAAAAAAAGTTTTTGCAGCTGTGATTAAATTAAAGATTTTTTTTCTTTATTACTACTTTTTCAAAATGCCTTAATGGTTAATGTGCTAACATCCGATTTTCAAAGTGTATAAATTAAATGTGTACAGGGGCAGCTGGGTAGCTCAGTTGGTTAAGCATCTGCCTTTACCTCAGATCATGATCCCAGGGTCCTGGGATTGAGTCCTACATGGGGCTCCCTGCTCCGCAGAGAGTCTGCTTCTCCCTCTACCTCTGCCCCTCTCCCTGCTTGTGCTCTCTCTCTCTCAAATAAAATATTTTTTAAAAAATTAAATGTGTACATTATTCTCTTCAAAAGCAAATAAAGCTATTTTTTTCTTTTTATGGCCCAGATTTTTTTTCCTCTCTTGAAGATTGGCAGTATTCTAATTCCTGATTCGTAATCTGACACAGAGTGCATTCGGTTTTCAAATTTTCAAGAGAAGAAGAAAATTATTTTCACAACTGACCAGTATTTTAATAGTAGAAGACAAGCATTCAAAACTAATGATTGGTTTTTCCCTTCTTTTGCTTCTCTCATTTTCTGTCCTTTCTTCACCTCTTATTCCAAATGAGTTGGAACTTGGATGGGAGAAAGTCATCCCAGATTTTCCAGGTGGGCCCAGTGTGTCATCACATGTGTGCTCTTTAAAGAAGCAAGTGAGATACACAGGGGAGAAGGGGATGCAAAGACAGACAGAGTTTGGAACAGTGGAGTCACAGCCAAGGAATGCCAGCAGCCACCAGAAGCTGGAAGAGGCGAGGAACAGTCTTCTGGAACATCAGGAGGGAGTGTGGCCTTGCCCACACCTTGATTTTGGCACAGAGAACTTCTGATTTTTTACTTCTGGCCTTCAGAATGTGTTCATTTAAGACAAAAAGTTTGTGGTGATTTGTTGCAATAATTTGATGGTTTGGGAAATAATCAGCCTAGTCAGAAGATAGCTAAAAGTAGGAAATTCACTGTTCAGAGAGGGTGCTGTGGGGAGATCAGGGGTACAGCTGAGCAGGGGACTTAAGGATGTGGAGGAAAAGGTAGCCCAAGACAGGGGTCTCCAGGGGTGGGGTGGGGGAGTCAGCCCAGGACGTGGAGATCCAGCAGTGTGGGGTGATAACTATCTCGGTCCTAAGAGAATACTGCAGATTTGGTGGCTTAGAAACAACAGAAATTTATCTCTCATGTGCATCTTAGGGAATATAGTCCTTGATATTGCACAGCAGCAGTATCTGCAAGCAAGTATGCTTGCGGGGGGCATAGCATACTTAGTCCAATCACTATCTTGTACACCTGAAACTAATGTAACATTGTGTCAACTATACTCAAATTTTATTTTATTTTATTTTTTAAAGATTTATTTATTTATTTATGAGAGAGAGAGAGAGAGAGAGAGAGAGAGAGAGAGAGAGAGAAGCAGAGACACAGGAGGAGGGAGAAGCAGGCTCCATGCCGGGAGCCTGATGTGGGACTCGATCCTGGGACTCCAGGATCGCACCCTGGGCCAAAGGCAGGCACCAAACCGCTGAGCCACCCAGGGATCCCCTATACTCCAATTTTTAAAAAAAAATGTTTTTTTTTTTTTCCTTTAGAACAAGCTCTGGTCAGTTTTATTAAAGAAAAATTTTGCATGATTTACTTTTCACCCATCTGTTATGGCACGCGTCTAATAGTATCACAATCACCCGGGTCAATGGTAACCAGTGTGCATACTCTGTTGTATTTCCCACATGCTGTGCCCAATTTAATATTATTGCCCCTGTAGTGATGGACACCAGTTTTGGCCAACATGGTATGGTATTCTATATCAGATTTCCTCAAGGCTGGGCAGTTGTTGGCGAGGATGACCCGCATCGCTTTGCCATGTCTGATCATTTTCAGAATCTGCTTGTACCCCAGCATATACTTTCCACTTTGCATAATGAGTTGGAGGCTAGAGTTGATTGACTCCAATGACTTTTTCATCTTCTTCACAGCCACCATCCTCCTGCCTTAAATGAGGAATGGCCCCAACCAAGAGCAGCTGCCAAAACGGCCAGGAGAGAGAAAGGCAAAAAAAAGTTTTAATTTATCTCTCACAGCTCTGGAGCCTGGCTGGGAAGTCCAAGGTCAAGTTGCAGACAGATTCAGTGTCTGGTGAGCACTGGATTCCTGATTCATGGATCTGGCTGCCTTCTTACTGCACATGGTAGAAGGGGTGAGGGACCTCTCTGAGGCCTCTTATAAAGGCACTAATCCCATTCACGAGAGCTCCACTCTCATTATCTAATCACCTACCAAAGGAACCCCCCTCAAAATACTACTACACTGAGGATTAGATTTCAACATACAGGGCAGCCAGGTGGCTCAGCGATTTAGTGCCCCCTTCAGCCTGGGGTGTGATCCTGGAGACACCGGATCGTGTCCCACTTCGGGCTCCCTGCATGGAGCCTGCTTCTCCCTCTGCCTCTGTCTCTGCCTCTCTCTCTGTGTGTCTCATGAATAAATAAGTAAAATCTTTAAAAAAAAATATTTCAACATACAAATGGATGGGGGTGTTATGACACAAGCATTCAGTCTAGTACCAGGGGCCCAAGGGGTAGGGGCCGAGAACACTCCAGTCCCGGCAGACTTGGCTGAGCAATTCAGGAGGGACACTCGCAGCTGCACTGACCTGCGGGGGTGGAAACCAGTGCCCACCCAAGACCCGAAGGACCCTGGGCCCAGAGAGAGGCACCCAGACCTGTGCCCTGTGTGCTCTGGCTGCCACAGAGGGTTCGCATGTTCTCAGCATTTCCTCCAAACCTGCACCAGCCCCCTGGCCCCTCACCGCACTCTCCACTTGCCCAAGTCGACCCCTTCCCTGTATGAGGCTGGACACTCTCTTCTTTGGGGCCAACCTTGTCATTTGCCTGTCACAGCCTTGCTCGTGACCCCATCCCCCAGAGGAAACGGCTCAGCCACAGACCCCACCCCATAAGAAATAAGCTCAGAGAGTGAGGAGGAGCCACAGTGACCCTGGCCTTCCTCCACCTGGGATGAATGCGGAGGGGCCCAGGATGAATGCGGAGGGGCCGAAGGGCTGCAGTCCCTACCCCCTGAGCTCCTGGGAGGACTTCGTCAGAGCTAGGTACCTCTCAGACATTTGTTTTCTTTTCCCCCTTCCAGAACCTGGGCACTTTCTCATGCGTCTCGGTCTCTCAGGGTACAAAGGAGAACCAGCCTTTTTTTCTTTTTTTTTAAGGTTTTATTTATTTATTCATGAGAAACACAGAGAGAGTCAGAGACAGAGGCAGAGGGAGAAGCAGGCTCCCTGCAGAGAGCCTGATACGGGGTTTGATCCCAGGACCCCGGGATCACAACCTGAGCCAAAGGCAGATGCTCAACCACTGAGCCACCCAGGTGTCCCTGAGAAACATCCTTTTAAGAGAGCCATCCTGGATGGTGTCCAACAGAGGCCGAACCAAGGGCCCGGGGCGTGCAGGGAGCAAGGGGGGAGGGGAGGCAGGAATGGCCAAGGTGGAGATGCCCTTTCCTGGGGCTCCCAGGGCTGCAACCCAGGAAGGAAGGGTACAGAGCAAGGAGGAGTGGGGTCTCGCCCAGCGCCAGGACCCTGCCAGGCAGAGGTGCCTCCTGCCCAGCTCCACGGGAGTCCAGTGTCTACCCACCACCTGCTAGATGCCTGGTGCCCACTGTAGACCCTGCCCAGAGCAGTGGCCTCCAGGCCCCACTGTGGTGATCATGGACCCTCTAGGCTGCATGGGAGTCCAGGTCCTGGAGTGAAAGGCAGGAGCACCAGCTAGGAGGCATGCTTGGGCCAGGTACCTGAGGGCCAGACTGAGGAGGCAGCCTTGGGCCGAGACCTCGAATGGCAGGGCCTGCTGCCCTTGCCCAGAGGGCCAAAGGACTCCCACCTCCGCAGGGTGGGCAGCAGCTAGAGGAACCCAGCAGTTGTTTTGTGGGAGGTGTAGAGAGGGGTTGCCTTTCAGAGCTTTTCCATAAGCAAGGTCCCCACCAGGTGGAAGGGGCAGGAGCAAGGAGATCCTTGAGGCTCCTTGGTGAGTCCTAGCATGACAGATGGGGCCTGGGAGCTAGAAAGCTGCTTCTGCAAACTAGAAACTTAAGCCAAGGCTATGGAGGAGCAGGCCTTCCCCTTCCAGGGTGTTCTGACCTGCAGTGGCCAGGAGGGCTCATCTCTGGACCCCAAGAGTTTCTGCTACTGTGACTGGTCTCCTGGGGGCATCTCGCTTGGCCGCTCCTCCTAGGTGTGGTCCTGGCTCTGAGAAGCCTAGTGACCCCCTTCCTGGGGATGTCCATCCCAGCCTTCCAGCAGGTGAGAGAGGGTTGCTTTTGCCCCAGCTATGGGCTGGACCAGACACTGCTCACAAACTTCTAGAAACCTGTCCAGGAGGTTAGACAGGATTCCTCAGATGTAAAAATTGCCAGAGTACATTTTGTGTGATTAGACAAAGGTGGGGCCTGTTCTTCCACGGAGGCCATGCAGTCCCCGGGAGCCTCTGCTCTCGGGCGTGTGGGTCAGGGAGAGCCGCCTGCGGGAACAGTGGGGGAGTTGTCCCGACTTCCTGCCACAGTCCCTGCCATTGCTGCAGAGACCCACAGCAGGACTTGGAAGGCCCAGTCCTGGCTTCTCCCAGGAGGGACTTGGGCCCAAGGCTTCTGTGTGACTTGTGGGCTCACATTAGTGGGCAATGTGGCCTTCAGGGCTCTGTCTACCGTGGAGCCCTTGGAGTTGGCCAGAGTCCACACAGAAGGTTCACACCATGGTGCTCACCCATTCCTCTGAGTGCCAAGTCTCAGCTTGTGATGTGGGTGTGCCATCTGGAGCTGACCCTCTTCCCCACAGCCCTGTAGGACTCCTCCCTTCCTCAGGCCCAGGGCAGTGGGCACACCCAGCCAATCCCCTCCTCTCAGCTCCAACCAGCTCAGTGCCCACATCTTGTTGGCTGGGATCAGCCACAGCTTGGCCTGACCTCTCTGCCCCAGCTACGGTCATATGACCGTCCTTGGATCCCCAGAGTATGACTGGGACACTGCACCCTGCTGAGCCTCAAATCCATGGACACAGCCTCGTCCCCCTCTTCTCCCTCGGCTCCCGGGCTGGGCCAACAGGGGGAAGAGGCAGATAGGGAAGGAAGGGGTGATGAGGTGGCTGTCACCAGGTGTCAGCTGAGGCGAGACCACACAGAGATAAGAACAGACAGATAAGACCAGTGGGCCTGCGATAGGCCTGGAGCCACCACCAAGAGAAGACCAGATTTGCTTACAAACTCTGAGACAAAAAAAAAAAAAAAAAAAAAAAACAAACTCTGAGACAGCCTTGTATAGAGATGCCCTGTGTGTGTGCCTGGCCTCTGTTAAACAACGCAAATTCAGCTAATTTACAACATCAAATTGGATTTATTGAATGACTACAGGCAGCATCCCATCTAGCAAATAGAGAGGAGCTTTGTTGAGCTGTAGAAAAGGAAAGGTTTTTTGAAGGTAGAGAGGCAACAGAAAGAAGGAAATTATTATCAAAGAATCCATTGTGTTAGGCAAGGTCACCCTCTTTAGGGTAACAGAAGGGATCTCTCAGTAAATTCCAGGGTGCTGTTCCAGAAATTGCATGTGGAATGGTTACATGGGGCAGGGTACATCGGAGCCGAAACTGCAGTTGGGTTAGGCGATGTTAGGTCTTAGCTTGCCAACACGGGGCTGTTAACATAAGTGAATCCATTTGCGCCTGTGGGAGTGGTGGGGTGGGCAAGGGTGGGCAACAGCTAGGGGACTCAGGGTCCCACCAGGCGCCTCTGAGCCGGGCCTTCCCCCTGCTTGCACCTGGCCCTGGTTTGCTCAGGCTGCAGACCTGGCCCTAACCCCTCCCCACTTCATACCCTGGGGAGCCAGGGGTATGGATTCATACCAAAGGAGCATTGACCACTTTGCCTCATGACTTTTCAAGTCTAGAATATTCCATCCAGTGACAGAGAGGCACTGCCCCTCCCCTAGTGAAAAGTCTCTGGGGCTTGACCTCCCTCGTATCCAGCAGTCACTGCAAACCCAAAGATACCTTTAAAGGTCAAAGAAGGAGCAGAAGTGGAGCTCCTGGGGCTGTGAGTGGGGATGAGAGGGGTCAGGGATGGCCACTGGTGCCTTCAGAGGGTATGTGGCCTTTGGTGGCAGCATCATTACCCCAAAAGTTTGCACATTCCCACTTCCTGCTCTTTGATCACCCTGACAGGCCTGAGAGGGTGGGGATCCTCTGGGGGCCTTCCTGGTGTTTGAGGAGGTAGACGCTACCCTCACCCCTCATCTCAGGACTCCCAGAGTCTCCTTCCCTCAGGACCCACCACCCAAAGCCCAGACTAGAGGAGCCGGTTCCCCTGTAGCAGGTGGAGGAGTAATGAGGTCCCAGAGGTCACCTGAGGCCAGTGAGGCCTCCTGCTGACTTCTAGGGGACACTGCCCAGGGGCCGGGCCCCTTCACTGCCTCCAATAGACCGCCAGGCCCCCATGAGGAAACTGCTTCCCTCCAGGACAAAGCTGAGATCAGCCATGGCATAAACAGTTCTGGGGGCCTAGGCCTGGGCCCCTGGGCTCCAGAGCCCAAGGCTGACCAGAGATAGCAGATGGTTGATACCTGCTCTCTCAAGAATGAGGATGAATCCTTGCCATCACTGTGACCCCAGAGTACCTGGGGTCCAGAGTAACAGGGTAGAAAGAGCCCTCCCTTTGGGCCCTAGCACCCCAGCCCATTTCATCCAGTCCAGGGCATGTCCTTCATGGTCCTCCCAGCAAAATGGAGCTGGCATCGCAGCCTTAGAGCTCTGCTTTATCAAGCTGTCTCATTTGCGACTGGCACGCCCAGCTTGGGGTCTCTGTCCACTTGGCCCACAGGAGGGGCCAAGCCCTTAGGTGTCAGCTGAGGTCTGGGTCCAGCCCTGACAGTGGGGCATGGGACAGGGGGCCTTCGCAGGGAGAGGGACATCTCACCCTGGGCCAGGGTCTGGTGTGGGGTCCCTGGGAGAGCCAGGATCTGGGCTCCAGGAGTGTGGGGCACACATTCCATCCTTCCCTTCCTTGCCGGTAAGGTGTACTTACAGCTGTCCCCCTGTTCCTGGAGGGAAACCGAGAAGTAGCAGGTACTCTGCTGCTGTGAAGCATTCTCTGCTTTCATTAGGTGTGGGGAGGGGGCCTCTCTCCCGCCTTACCCCACACTTACCCCACTCTGGGCTTGGGCTGAGCAGAGGCTTCTAGAGGTCAGGGATGACAGCTTGTCCAGACTGGAGACCACAGATCACACACAAAGGCGTCTTTGTGCCTGCGGAGGTGTGGAGCTCTGGGGAATCCCTGCCCCCCTCCCTGGCCTTTCTGCCCCTCATCTTGCATAATCTTGACCTCAGGGAAAGGGTCAGAGCTTGCCAAATGTTTCAGCCTGAGTTGCGGGCAATTGCTTCACCCTTTCTGGATTAGCAAAGGATAAATCGCCCCACCCCGGAATGAGCAACTGACTAGGGGACCATAAATAAGGTCCCCTGGGGCAACCTTCTCACTAGTTTCTCTTCTTCAGCTGCTATCTGGCACACCAGCTTCTTAAGCCCTAAAGTCATGACCCAAGTTCTCCTGTGGCTGGGCCTTGCCTTGCTGGGGTCCTTGCAGGTCCAGACCCAGGACTCCACCCCAAGTCTGATCCCAGCCCCGCCTCTGCTCAAGGTGCCACTGCAGCCTGACTTCCAGCATGACCAGGTAAGGGGGCTGGAGGGGCAGCCTGCTGCAGGGAGGCCCAGGGCAGAGTATAAACAGAGGGGAGGAGAGGCAGAGCGTGTTAGGGCAGGATGGGCTCAGGCTTCAGCCCAGCCTGCCCTTGGGTCCCCTAATGGAAGGCACATCTCATGCCCCCATCCCCACCCCAACTTCGCCAACAAAAGGGTCACTAGGGCAGAACTTCCCAGGTCCACACTCCCTTCCATAATCCCCACAGTCCAGTGAGGTGGAAAAGCTTCAGGCTCTCTGCATGATGAAGAAACAGGATCAGGGAGGTCAGCTGGCCACTCGCCGAGGGTCACCCCATCCCTACCAGACTCAGGGCTCCCTCCTGGCCTGGTAGCCTTCAGCTCCCGCAGCCTTCATCACCACAGGCCTGTGTGGCCAGTCAGGGTCCCTGCTGCCCAGTTAGAGGGACCCTTGGCCAGGCTGCCCAGAGCTGTCTGCAGGGACGGAGCAGTAGGGCCCTCCAGGGGCTGTTCCTGGGCTCTGCCTGTCATCCGCACCCACTGTAGTTCCAGGGGAAATGGTACATCATCGGCATAGCAGGGAATACATTAAAGAAAGAAGGACATGGCCAGCTTAAGATGTATACCACCACCTATGAGCTGAAAGATGACCAGAGCTACAATGTCACCTCCACCGTACTCAGGTGAGAGCCACCGCCTCCTGGGGGGGCACAAGGGCCCTGGGGTGGGGGCTACCCTGGGGGTCTAAGAGACAGACCGATGTCGTACCAAGGAGTGACCTAAACTGAAAGGTCATCCTACTGCTTGGAACTGGATCCCCCTCCATTTATTCCTTCCTTCATTCTCTAGATCCATGTCTATCGGTCCCTTCAGCACAGACACACCGATAGTCCTGGGGATGGACACAGACAGTCACAGGGCAACGAGACAGAGAGAGCAGGGGTGTCCTAGAGTGGAGGGGAGGGCCCCTGGATCCAGCCTGGAATCCCACCGAGGGCTTCGTCAAGGGCTTCCAGGGAGGTGGTCTCTAGGCCAGGCCTTGAGGAATCAACATGCCTCAAAAGGAGGCCGGGAACATTTGTGGCAGCGGCTGCTGGACAGGGCCTGCCAGAGCTGCTTCTTCAGGAAGCCATCAAGTAGCTGCCCTGAGCAGGGGCCAAGGAGCAGCCTAGACAGGGGCGTTGGACACAGTGGCAGGGTCTTTAGGCACCGGTACCAAAGGGGTCTGGTGAGGAACAGGTCTGGCTGCCACAGGGAGAGGGATGAGAGGATGCAGCTGGGAGGCTGGCCAGTCACAGGTGGGAGATGACTGGGGTAGGGGGGAATCAGGCACAGATTAGGACCCAGAGAGGGAACTGAGGATTACCCAACTCCTATGGCTTTCTGGCTCTAGCACTTGGGGGATGGGGCTAGGGCATTTGTGGTTCTGGGAACAGAAGAAGGGCAAGTTTGGGGAGATCAGCTCTGGGATGCCAGGGGACCAGATGAGACGCAGGTGAGACGTCAGAGTTGGCCCAAGAGCTAAGGGAGTCCCTTGGCATCAAGCCGACTGGAGCCTTGGAGAGTGAATCCCCCAGGAGAGCTTATAGCAGGAAGCCACAAGATGAGAGTAGGGGACAAATGCCTGGGGTTGGGGAGACAGGATGGAGGGAAGGCCACTGAGGGGAAACAGCCCTGAAGGGGGAAGGACAGTAGGTGCCAGAAGGAGAGTCAGGTGGCTCAGGACAGAGCAGGCAGGGACAGGCTGGGATAGGCTCAGTGGGGAAGAGCCAGACCCATCGGAGTAAGATGGGGTGCAGGCCTCTTGCAGCACGAGGGGCTGACACCCTTTAAAAAAAAAGATTGTATTTATTTATTGAGAGAGAGACAGAGAGAGTGTGTACACATGCCCATGTGTGTGCACCCGCGACCAAGGGCAGGGGCAAGGGGAGATGGAGAGAGAACATCAAGCCGACTTGGTGCTGAGTGCAGAGCCTGATGTGGGGCTCAATCCCAGGATCCTGAGATAGTGACCTGAGCCGAAGCCAAGCACTGCCAGGCTGTCACCATCTTACCACCCATCTCTTGCTTCCACAGGAATGAGCGCTGTGACTACTGGAACAGAGATTTTGTCCCAAGTTTCCAGCCTGGCCAGTTCAGCCTGGGCAACATTCAGCGTGAGTCCTGAGTAGGGTGGGTCTCCAGGGGCACAGACCTTCCGGGCGATCCGCACAGACACCGCCCAGCCAGGGGGTGTGGGGGTTAGGGTTAGGGAGAAATAGGTCCCTCCACCGGGCTGGGATGGGCTGATCCCTTACCATCCGCCCCCTGCAGTTTACCCTGGAGTACAGAGCTACCTGGTGCAAGTGGTGGCCACCAACTACAACCAGTATGCCTTGGTGTACTTCAGGAAAGTCTACAAAAGCCAGGAGTACTTCAAGACCACCCTCTATGGTAGGTCCACACTATGGCCTCTGGGGCCCGGCTCCTGCTCATGCTTGTGAGGGAGTAAGATAAGCCCATCCCACCTGCTCCCCGCCCCCCAGCCCTTGGGAAATGGGAGAGAGATCTCTCCACAGATACCACCCCCCCCACCTCCATCATGAGGAAGGGGTCTAAGGCCTCCTTCATGTGTTCAATGATATTTTTGGAGCATTCACCTGCCACTTACCGGCCATCTTGACTACAGGGAGGACGAAGGAGCTGCCCCCAGAACTGAAGAAGAAATTCATCAGTTTTGCCAAATCCATAGGCCTCATGGAAGACCACATCATCTTCCCTGTCCCCATTGGTAATCTTTGGCGAAGTTGAAGAGAAGGGGAAGTGGGGACTGTCCCAACCTGATGTTGCCCCACTAGGGAAAGGGGGGAGAGGGGGAGACTTGGGCCCCAGCAGCAGTCACTGGAGTCCCTGGGAGCCACTTTGGGTTCAGGAAGAGTCTGCTGTACCCAGGGGTCTGTGGGGCACCCGGCAACATGGGCCCCAAGTGCTCCTCCCTGACAGATAGCCAGGGTCCAGGTTTCCTGTCTCCTTGCCTGACTCCCTCCACCTCCCTCTGCTTGTCCTGGGCTAACTCCCACTTTGCCTGGGGCTTGCTCACCATTGACTTGGGAGGCCCCCTGTCTTCCGGCAGTGGGGCCCAAGGCTGAGGGGCTGTCGGGACTTAGCAGGTAAGCTGGCAGAAGGCCTGATGCCCAAGCAGGCATGTGGCTGGGCTTCACCTGCCTCCTTTGGAGAAGTGTCACTCAGGTCTGCACGTCCTCAGGTCTCTCTCCCAGTTCCCCGCCCCCATCAGCCAGCCCTCTGCTGTACTATCCCAGAAGGGGACCCCCAGATCTTCTGTGGCTGGGCCAGGCTGGGGCCCAGGGTGGCCCAAAGGAAAAACAGGGGCCCTGGAGGTCAGGGAACAACACCCCAACCCCCCTGCCCATGCTGACCACTCTGTCCCCTACAGATCAGTGCATTGATGGGTGAATGAGAACGCGGTGAGTATGGCTCAGGAGGGCTTGATGGGGGCCAGAGTGCTGGTGGGAGGGAGTCCCAGGCCTGCCTTTGTCCCCCCTGACCAGCACTGCTGCCATCTTGATTCCCCTGACTCCCTTTCAGGTGCTCCCTGTCTCTCTCCACCCGGTCGCCCTCACACCAACCTCTGACCAGGACATCACCCAGCTGTCCCCACCAACCCGGACACCGAGAGAGCCATGAGACCCTTCTTACCGCATAGCCCACCAGCTGCTCTCCAGGCTGTCCTTCTGATGGAACTCTTCCTCCTTGCTTGCTAAATAAACACATGCCACCTGGTTCCCAACCTGTGCTCCTTGACCCCTGGGCTATCTGAGAGGGAGAAGAGCAAAGGAGGGCTCCTATTAGCATCACTCCCAGAGATCGTGGTCCCCAGAGAGGGATGGAGGCCACAGAAGCAGAGTTCAGCATTTACTGAACACATCCAGCTCCCAACTCCAGGCCCAGACCCAGACCAGCAATAACCCTCACTCACCTCTGCCTCTTAACACATTGATGGGTCACATCTTACATCCACGTTCAGCTACCTGCTGCAGGTCCTATGGCAGGGGCCTAGCTAGGGCCAGGGAGCTGAAAGCGTTTGAGGGGGCTGAGGTGCTATCACCCACACTTCACCAGGACCCTGTAGATGGGGGAAGATCTCAGCCAGGGTAAGAGGGGTGCACAGCTTGAGGCTGTGCCAGGGACAGAGGGTCACCGGAGGTGGTCCCCTTTCCCTCTGCCAGCCCCATGTGGGCCCACTGGTGGGTGGTAGTGTCCATGCTGATCCCATTCTGAGTGCTATCCCTCACCTACATCTCTCCTCTGTGATGACCTCTGGATCACCAGGGACAGGGACAGGGGAGGCAAGGAAGAGAATATGCTGCCAGGAATCCAGAATCCAGAAGACTTGAGGGTTCTAGGCCTATACCCACCACTTGGCTGGGCCTGTATCTGGAGCCTGACCAGCCCCTGTCCACCCCTCTGTGTCTGCATCACACTACTTGAACTGCATCATACAACACCACACATTTGAAACTCCCTCCTGGCCTCTTCTCCCCTTGCAAGGTCAGGGGCCGGAGGGTTGAGGTTCCAAAGAAACCCAGGCTTATCCACCCCTCAGCTTGCACACTTACCCTTGGGCAGGCTTGGGAGTGTGGGGGAGGATGGGGTAGTAGGGGGATACTGGAGCTCTAGCTGTCCTATCCTCAGCCCTGAGGGGGCAGGATAGGCCTGAGATCCAGGCCTACCAATTAGAAGTCTGGGTCAGGGGGCACCCGGGTGGCTCCGTCCACTAAGCATCTGCTTTTGGCTCATGATCCCAGGGTCCTGAGATTGAGCTCCATATTGTGCTCCCTGCTCCAAAGGGAGCCTGCTTCTCCCTCACCCTCTGCCTGCTGCTCCCCCTGCTTGTGCTTTCATGCTTTGTCAAATAAATAAGTAAAATCTTTTAAAAAAGAAGGAGAAGGAGAAGAAGAAAAAGAAAAAGAAGAAGAAGAAAAGAAGAAGAAGGTTGGGGGTCAGGTTCCCGGAAGAGACCAGTTTGCTGCAGTGTGGGCTGAGGGAGGAAGGATGGAGGCTCTACCCAACCCCAGAAAGGCCCCCACTGAGAAGGGCACCCAAGGGACTATTGGCTAGAGCACCACTAGCTGGCAAAGGGAGTGGGAGCTGTCCCCAGCATGCCTGGTGCTTGAGCTCCACTTCGGGAAACAGAGACAGTTTCTTTGCCTTGGCCCAAGCCATGCAGCTACCTGGCACCACCTGGGTGTGCTGGGTCTTCCAGGATCAAACTCTTAGGAGACAAATGGGCTTTGTGTTTCTTCCTGGGGTCACTGGGTTTTATTAGTTTCCTATTGCTGCTATAATAAATTATCACACACTGGCATCTTATGACAATATACATTTATTCTTTTATAGTTCTGGAGGCCAGAGGTCTGAAATCACTTCCATAGCTAAAATCAATGTGTCAGCAGGGTTGTGCTTTCTCCAGAGGTTCTTGGGGAGAATCCTCATCATTGCCCTGGGGTTCTTTCTTCCTTCTTCAAAGATAGCAGCATGGTATCTCCAAATATCTCTCTCTGCTGAGGTCCTCACATGGCCTTATTTCTTGTTTGTAGTCAAATTTCCCTTGGCCTCCCTCTTTACTGGGACGCTTATGGTTGCATTTAGGGCCCACCTGGATAATCCAGGGTAATCTCCTCATCTCAAAATACTTCATGTAATCACATCTGTACAGGCTCTTTTTTTTTTTTCCAAATAAGGTACTGTTCCCAGATTCCAAGGATTAGGATCCAGATATCTTTGGGGGCAGACTACTACATTAGATTTGGAGAGGGAATCATGGCAAGGCTAATGAGATGGGGAGACAGGTGAACAAGGGTAGCAGCAAGGCATACTCTCTTCCCCCATCAGGGCTGGATGGAGTAGGTGGCTGTTTTGTCCTGTGGTTTGGCTTATGGGTCCTGAGTGAGGGAGCGAGGTGACCAGAGGGAGAGGCCCTCCTTGGGACCATAGCATTTAACCAACTAGGAGCATGCCTGAGGGCAGCTGGGCACTCGGACAGGTGGATGTGTGCATCATGCATCCCTGTGCAGGCTCTGTGCATGAGCATTCGCATCTATCTGCTGTGTCCCTGTGGTATGCGTATCTGTGCATGCCTAGGCATGTTTCTGAAAAACGACGTGACTTTCTGAGGGTTTGTTTGCCCATCCCCTTGCCCTGGAGTCTGCAAGTTTGTCCCCTGGTTTAGATACAGAGTCAGGTCCTGTGATCCCACATGTGATTTCACAGTTAGGAGAAAACCACGTGCCTCAGTTTTTGTTTGGATGTCTCATACTTAAAGGGATAAATGTGTTTGGATTATGTCAGCACGTCCACATAGATGACCTGTATTTCTGTCCTGTCTCTGCAGACCTGCGTGCCACATGAGGATACAGGTGTTTCTGTGCCAGTCAGGACACACCGCGCTTTGCTCTCTTGGTTGGTGAAATGCTGTGGTCTTAAGGAAGGCCTCCAACCCATCAGCCAAAGGCAGATGCCCAGACCTCTTTCTCAATCCTGCTCACTGGTTCAATGTGGGCCTCACCTCCACTCACCCACCTGGTTCCGGGGTGGGGGGGAGAAGGTAGGGCTGCCAGTATGCAAGTCACTGGTGGCTCTGACTGTAGGCTGTGGACTTCATCTCACTTCCACCTTCCTTAGGACACAGAGGATCCTTCCCTGTTGTCATCATTTGGGACATATACTCAGGTCCCCACTGGGGCCGGACATTGTGGGCTTGGGCTCCTGGGCCGCCAGGGCTGTGCCACAATGGAATGCAGTGACCCTGGCACCCAACAGCTGATAGCTGGTGCCCGGCCAAGGTAGGGGTGACAGATGGAATGCCAAGCGGTTGGGGACATACCCAAGTCTGATCCCTATCCTAAGGATGTCCTGACCACAGAAACCACCAGTGTGAGACCAGCAACGACTGCTGTAGCCATGGGGCCTGTGGGCAGCTACAGGAGTCCCATGAGTGAGCCTGACTCAGCTGGGCCCCTGGCCAGGATGATACCTCTGGGTCCAGCTCAGGAGTGAAAGTGGCTTGGTGGGTGACTCTGGGCAGGCCTCCCTTTCTCAGCTGGCAAAAGGGGTGGAGGGTGATGGCAGCTGGGCCAGCCTTATCCTGAAGCCACGCACGTCTCTGTGCCAACACAGACTATGACTCTCACTGAGGCCGTGAACCTAAGTCTTCCAAAGCCATGCGTCTCAGTTCACACTTAGCACTAATCACTTTATTGAATAAATACAATACCAAACAAAATGCATTCAAATGCTTTCTAAAAAAAAAAAAAAATCAATTTTAAAGGCCTTTCTATTCAGACTAATGACAAACACAATAAAGGCAGATATGCTAGTGTAACATAATTGGCTGATTTTATACAGCACTTCTATCTTTTAGTCCACAAGTATATTATTAAATGATAGAGAACATCTAATACAACCATTTCTACAGAACTAGGAAATAAATTTCTTTTTCTTTTTTTTTTTTAAGTTTTTATTTGCTTATTCATGAGAGACACAGAGAGACAGAGAGAGAGAGAGAGGCAGAGACACAGGCAGAGGGAGAAGCAGGCTCGACGCAGGGAGCCGGATGCGGGACTCGATTCCGGGTCTCCAGGACCACGCCCTGGGCTGACGGCAGCACTAAACCCCTGAGCCACCCGGGCTGCCCAGAACTAGGAAATAAATATATTTCTAAGAAAGAAAAATTTTACAGATTTTTCTCTTCCAAAGCCACGTGGAGGCGCCGGCCCGCCGACTCGCAGGTCCCCAGCTGCAGGACCCGCGGAGAGGAGGCGCCGGGCTGCCCTGCGCTTCTGCGGGGTTCGCGGGCCGCAGCGGCGAGCCCAGGCGTCCAGGCCGAAGCTTCGGGGCGGGCAGTCCGGGATGGCCCCGCCCCGCGGCCGGGAGAGGGGCGGGGCTCGGGGGCAGAGCGCGCCTGTGAGGCAGGGAGTGGGCGGGCCCTGGGGCGTGGGGGCGCGGTCTGACCGCTGCCGGGGGCGGAGCTCTGGCGGCGGGGCGGGGCGGGGCGGGGCGGGGCGGGGCTCGCGCCGTGCGGTTCCGGCCTTCGGGGCGGGGCCCCGGCCGCCCTGCCGCGCTCCGCCGGCGCTGCCGCTCTTCCGGCGCCGCGTTCCATCCCGCGCCTGCACCTTCCGCCCGGCGCCGGCTGTCCGCGGGCCTGTCGCCGCGTTCCGTCGTCGCGCGGCCCTCGCGGCGCCCGAGCCCGCAATGTCGGGCCCCAACGGGGACCTGGGCTTGCCGGTGGAGGCGGGCGCGGAAGGCGAGGACGACGGCTTCGGGGAAGCAGGTGACCCGGGGGACTGCCGAAGCGACCTTTGCTTTCCCAGGGTTGCCCTCCTGGGAATGGGGGCCGGGGCCAGGCTGGGGGCTTGGAGGGGACCGCAGGAGCCTCTCTCCCCTCGCCCCTGGGTGGGTTGCGGCTGCAGGCGCCGGCCCGGGGGTTCAGGGCGAGCACCCGTGAGTGGGTCCCTGGAAACCGCAGCATTGAAGAACTGCGGGCAACCCGCCCCGTTTTACAGTCGGGGAAACTGAGGCCACTTCAGGTTCACTCGCCCTTTAGACAGTTGCTCCAGCCACTCCCTGTAGTCCGTGAGCACACGGAGGCTCCTGAGGGGGTGGGGCGGGTGGGCCGTCTTGGCTTAGCAGGAGGGGCTGCCTGGGTGGGCGAACCCGCCCTGCTGAGTCAGCTTCCCCAGCCACCTTGGCTGGTGCGACCCGGAGCCTTGGCGCCTGTGACCTGCTTACAGCGCAGCCTGTTGCCTGCGCGGCACTGCGGTGGGGGGGTGGGGGCGGGTGGGAATGGTGGTGGAGGGAGAACCATCAGCTGTTTTTCACCTTGGGAAGCCTCAGTTTCCCCATCTGTAAAACAGGAATAATGAGTAGTATCTCCTGCGTTGCAATGTGTCAGGATTAAATGAAGAAAAAAACAAATGGAAAATAGTTAATAGGTTCGAAGCATACAAATGTTCTTTGGTGAGTGGTTATTATTCTCTTTAGTAAAATAAAGATTGGTTTCTCAAGTGGGAGAGCAGGACTTAGTAAACGTGAGATAAGTATGGAGTCCGCTTTTTGTTTTGTTTGGGTAACTGCTTTATTGAGCTATAATTCACATACTATACAATTTATCCATTTAAATTGTACACGTCAGTGGGTTTTAGGATATTCAGAGTTGTGCATCTATCACAATTGTTTCAGAACACTTTGATCACCCGGGGTCTGCTTTTAATAAAGAGGTAGAGGACCTTCCACAGGGAGGTAAGTGGCAGGCTGGCTGGTTTGCCCTGGGCACTTCAGGTGAACAGCAGCCAGATGTGTGTAAGTAAGCCTGCAGTGGGAGCAATCGGGAAAAGCCGCTCACGTGTCACACTGAGGGGATGCTGGCAGATTCACAGGACTTAGTGCAGTGGGGAGGTGGCGTCCCAGGCAGAAGGCAAAGGCTTAGCACTGGAAAGTGCCCTTGGCACAGATAAAGCCTGGCCCCAGTGGTGTGGAGACACCACCCGCCTCCCCCATTCTGCACACAGAATGTGAGTGTTGGTAGTAATGACCATTTACTAAAAGTACTTGCTGTGGCCAGACCCTGTCTGAGTTCTTAATATACTGGAATCCTTACAACATCCCAGGCCTCATTGCCTTCCCAAAAGATCCAGTAACTTGCTGGGGTGGAGCAGAGGCTGGGACCAAAACCCAAGTGCCCCTGCTCCTTCTGAATCTTGGCTATGCCACCAACCAGCTGGAGGATCCTGGGTGGGTCCCTTCCTTCTTGGGCCTCTGTTCCCATCTGTACCACAAGGGGGTTGGACTCTAATATCCAGCAGGGACTTGCTAAGACTGTCCTTGGAGAGGTGTGCCAGCTCTGGGCGGTGGTGCTCTTCCCCAGAATGCAGACACACTTGCACGCATATCCCAGATACACTCCTCCAGCCCTGACTTTTTCCAAACACTGCCAGCCACTTCCCCTTTGTCCCAGACTGGCAGCTGAGTATATCTGAGTCATGGGCTGGCTCAGAACTGGGTCCGCAGTGGGCACGGGCCCAGACCTTGGATCCTAAGGGACACTGTGCTGCTGAGAGGCAGGTCAGGAGTGGCCATGGAGGAGGGAGTGATGGTTTCTGGTGGAGACCAGGGAAGGCTTCTTAGAAGAGGAGGCGTTTTTGAGCTGGTCCTTGAATAGCTGTTGTGGTTGAGGCATTCTGAGTGGCAGAGACAGGTGAGCAAATGCAGAAAGGCTAGAAAGTCAGAGGCTTCATTCACTCATCCATGCATCTATCCATTCATTCAACTAGTGCTTATGTGACAGTGAGGGCATCGGGGAGAGCAGTGAACACAAGAACATTCCCCGTCTCTTGAGCTCTGTAGTCTGGTGGGGGAGACACGGCAGCACACACTCACATCAGACAAGCCAGAGGTTGTGGAGGTGTGTGGAGGGCAAGGGGATCGGGACTAGAAGGGGATCCCATCTGGGGCATTGGGAAAGCTCCCTGTGGCAGCATCCACGCTGAGACTAGAAGGATGAGAGGGGAAGGAAGAACACATTGCAGGCAGAGGCAACAGCATGTTCAAGGAACCAGAGGTGGGCAGAGGTGGGTGACAAGAAAGGAAAGGGAGTGGAAGGTGGGGCTGGAGGGGGTGGGGCCTGGGAATCTAGGTGGTGCTTTTTCCTCAGGGCAGGGGGAGCTTCAGAGGAGCTGGAGAGTAGGGCCTGCAGGAGGACAGAGGTGGGCTCTGGCCTCTAGGCAGCTGATGAAGGAAGTAGAGAGGAGACTAGGCACCTGGCAGGACTTTCCTGGTAGGATACTGCCTGGCTGACCTCCCCCTGACTACCCTAATCCTAGAAACAAGGTATTATTTCTCCAAAGCCTTTCACTTGCGGTATCCACCCATTTTCTTTCTTTCTTTTTCTTTTTCTTTTTTCCACCCATTTTCCAGATGGTGACACAGAGGGTCAGAAAGGAGTACAGACTTGGCCAAAGCCCTTTTGTCTCACTGGGGAACAGTGTGGGGGAGGGTATCTGTGAACCCTGAGGAGACATGGGACCTTGGCTCTCTTTTCCTTTCCTTCCAGAATATGCTGCCATCAACTCCATGCTGGACCAGATCAACTCCTGTCTAGACCACCTAGAGGAGAAGAATGACCACCTCCATGCCCGCCTCCAAGAGCTGCTTGAGTCCAACCGGCAGACACGCCTTGAGTTCCAGCAGCAGCTTGGGGAGGCCCCTCCTGATGCCAGTCCTTAGGTTTTGGGAACTCCCAGCCAGCTCCAACCCTGCCTCCCTGGGCTAGGCTCTGGCCTAGGCACTCACCACCTGGCTTCAACACCTGCTCAGGGGCTGGCCTACAGGTCCCCCAGTGGGTCTGCCTGCCTTGGACACCCTTCTGGTACTCCCCTTGGCATGCCTGGGCCAGCCCCCAACATCCGACATCCCCTCCCGGGGTCAGGTGTGGGCCCTCGACCCACCCACCTTGCCTGCCTGCCCAATTCTGGGGCACTCTTCACTCTGCCCAGGCCTTGAGCGTCCACATTAAACGGGTCTCCAACACCACTGTGCCTCTCCTCTGTATCCTGGACTGAGGACCCCACTGGCCACCAGAGGGGAATAGGGCAGTGGGGGCATTCTAGGCACTGATCATGTGCTGGCAGTCATGGGCCTGCTGATAGGGTAGGGGTTCTCAGCCTTCTTGTATTTCTGTACACACAAGAAAAAGGTGAGGCAGGGCTTCCTCTGCACCCGGTGCCATCCTGGACAGCAGGTGATTGCCCAGCCCAGCCACGAGCATCGGACGTGCTATGTGACCCTGTAGATACACTCAGCTTCTCTGGGTCCTAGGGCCTTTTTTCTTTAAGACAGCCAATACCTATTCATGCTGTGTAACCTTGGGCATCATCCTCTTGCTCCTGGCCTCAGTCCTCCTAGTTGGCCAATAACAGGGTTGGTCAGGTTGTCTACCTCTAAGGGTTTTTTCAGATGGGGAAATACCAGAACCAAAGAACCAACTCCTCCTGGGCCCCATTTGCTGCTGATTCTTCTTTGGGTTGCCTGACAAGAAGGGCGGGCCCCTGCTATTGAACCACAGACTCAGAACCAGAGGTCAGGGAGGCCCCCCACTCCTGCCTTTCAGCTTCCATGGGGTCCAAATGGAGAGAGGCCAGCGGAGGGGCCCAGAGGTCTGGCCTAGGGCAAATCCTGGTCACTCACCAGATATATGGCCTCCAGCAAGTAAGTTACTTGACCTTACTAGGCCTCAGTTTCTCCACCTATAATTTGGGGATCATAATAAGACCTGCTCCCTAGGGTCCCTGTGAGAATTAAATGAGATCTGGTTGAAGGTAAAGGTGTTTTCCTAGCCCTGATCACCCAATTAAGAGGGAAACAGGCTGTGAGAGAGTACCTTGTGACCTCAGAGGCCCTGCTTAGGGAGCCGGCCTATGGCCTTCCAGCTCAGCCACCACACCATGCCTAAAGAGGGTGGGTGCTGGCTGAGAGCTGGCTGCGGTACTCCCTCCCGCCGTCAACCCAGACAGAAGGGCTGGTGGGCATTATGTGGCCAAACTACCTTCTTTTATTTGATTTTCAGTAAAAACACCAACCACATCAGAATTTCCACACAGACTCTAAAAAGCATAGCAGACCTAGACCCAAACAGGGTGGGCAGGAGGCATGCCCTCTATCAGGTTTTGAGGCGGGTTGAGCGCCGGGGAAGTGGGGGAGAAGGGGGTTGGGCTGTCACCTTGCTGGGGGTTTTAGCTGTATCCTGGCTGCAGGGCTGGCTGGGTGCACGGCCACCAGAAGTGAACAGAGCAGTCAAAGCGTTCCGGGCGTTGATCGCACACCGGCGGCTCACGGGCCTGCTGGTAGGGCTGGGGTTCTTGGCCTTCTTGTATTTCTGGACACAGAAGGTGCAGATGAGGCAGGGCTTCCTCCCCACCTGGTAACACTCCCTGCTGGCAGCTGCCTCCCCGGCTTGACTGAGACTGCATTGGGCATGCCATGTGACCTCTATGTGTGTGTGCCCTTGTGATACACTCAGCCTCCTGGGGCCTGGCCCTCAGCGTCCGCAGAACAATAGCAGAAAGGGCTGGGCCCCACCCCTGCTCAGATTCCCTCTGTGGGGAGGCCCTCTTGTTGGGGGGTGTGCCCATGGGCTGAGGCTAGGCACGAGGGTGGGGGGTTGGGGGTGCTGGCTGCTGGCTGCACTCATCAGCTAGGGTAGGTGAGTGGGGCAGGAGGCCCAGCTCACCTGCAGGTTCTCGAAGTGGGCCAAGGACTTGCAGTGGGAGAGCTGTGCTCCCGAGTTGCTGTGGTAGAACTTGTGGCAGATGCGGCAAACGTACCCCATTACGGGCACCAGGAAGTCCACGCCTGTGGGGTTGCAGAGTTTGTGCACCCATCCCCATGCCAACCTGGCATCCCACTCTCTCTAGGAGCCCATTTGCTCACTCGGCCTCCAGGTAGGAGAGAAGAGGATAAGGGGAGAGGCTGCCCGGCCACGATGCTGTGGCTGGGCCCTGGGGGCTGGGCCTGAGGACCTCCGCTTCTGCAGGTGGGGTCAGGGCTAGGGTCTTACCGTATGCGGTGTTTGGGTTATAGGTCTCTGAGCCTTTCCACTCCTCTATGGATATATCTCTGGACCTCACCTGAAAATACACAAGTGTGGGCCTTGGTTCTAAGATTCCCCCAAACTCCTCCCAGACGCAGGTGGGGCCTGCTTGGGGCTGAAGGCCACCCTTGCACCCCACCACCCACAGCCCATCCACAATGGCCCCTTTGGCTGCCCCTCACCACTCTGGACTGCAACGGGCAAGCCCCAGGAGGGCAGGGGCTTGATCGCCACATATCCCCACAGCTAGCACAGTGCCTGGCTCAGAGCAGCTGCTTTTCATTTCTTAAACAAAAAGAATCCAAGCTCCTCCAGCTCCTCGCTCATCGGAGGCAGTAGAGCTGGGACGTTATGAGCACAGGCTTTGGAGTCACATCCTGGCACCCAAGTTGGTGAGATTCAACCAGGAAAGTGCTTGGTACACTCCTGGTGTATAACAAATGCTCAAAAGGTGTTGACTAGAGCAGCCCCAGTGGCTTAGCCGTTAAGTGCTGCCTTCAGCCCTGGGCGTGATCCTGGAGACCCGGGATGGAGTCCCACGTCGGGCTCCCTGCATGGCGCCTGCTTCTCCCTCTGCCTGTGTCTCTGCCTCTCTTGCTCTCTCTGTGTGTGTCTCTAATAAAAAAATAAAATCTTAAAAAAAAAAAAAGTGTTGACTGCTACTATCTTCATCATCCTCATCTGGCACTGACTGTTCCTGTGTACCCCACATAGCTACCCCCATGCCCTTATTGGACTAAGAAGCCCTTTCCCTTCCTTGACATCAAAATTTCAGCCAGGCTTCGAGGCTCTCACATGTTGCTGCCCGTCCCGCCATCCTCATGATGTGCATTTACACCTGGTCATAAGGGATACAATCCTATTCATACTAAATCATGTCATGCATTTGTGCCTACAAATGCTAGCACTATGCCCCCTGACCCCAGAGAGATGGGGTGAGGTCCCTCTGAGCTGGGAGTCCAGCCTCCAGTCTGCCTCCCACACCCCTTCTGCCCCCAAGCACCTGCTTGCAGAATTCCTCCTCAACCTCGATCTCTTCTTCATCCTCCTCCTCCTCCTCCTCCTCCTCTTCATCACCCTCAAAGCAGCCCACGGCATCCACTGTGATGAAGTGGTCCTCATCTTGACCGGCTATCTCCTTCTCGAGCATCTTCAGCTGCCCAGGGGAGTGGGCCAGGGCTCAGGTCAGCTTTGGGCAGCTGAGGTGCCACCCCACCCACCTCTACCACACCCCTGAGAGTCCCAATCCCTCTAGACATGGAGTATAAGCTGGGATAAACCTCAATTCACTGTGTGGCCTTGGCCAAGGCTCTGTGCCTCTCTAGGCCTATGTCCTCCAAGGGAGCTGGTTGGGTTACCTCCTTGGCTTTGTCCTTGTGTCCCTGGGACTTCACGTGCTCCACAAACTTGCGGGGGGTCTTGAAATAGCGGTTGCAAACAGTGCAGAAAGGTCTCAGGGACTGCTTGGCAATCTGTGGAAAGGAGGGCAGGCCAAGTGGGTGGCAGGTGGTGTCCCCAGGTGCATCCCAGCTGTGCCCTGACACCTCATATCCCACCTACTGGCCACCACATTTGTAATCAGCTGGCTGTGCTCCACTCCTTTACCAGAATGTGGGCACGCACTCCCCCCGCCCACCCCTTGGGCTATGAGATGGGATGGCAGATGGCAACAGAGGACGGACATAGGGCAGGGAGAGAGAGTGGCTGCCAAGGAGGACACCCATGAGCCCTGTGGCTGACTGGCAGGGTGAGATGGTACCTTGCCTGATTGGACAGATGGAGACACTGAAGCCCTGAGAAGCCATGCTTAGGACTGATAGCCTTGCAGAGACAAAGCCGGCCATTTACTGCACCCCTCCCAACCGTGGGCTGGGAGACAGCCCCTGTGGGCACCCTCGCAGCTTGCCAGCCCTCATACCTTGTGGTCCTGTGTCCTGCGGTGCTGGATCAGGTCTCCCATGTAGTAGACCTGGCAGGTGTTACACCAGCGCCTTGGCGGGGGCTCTCTGAATGGTGACAATCAAAACAAGTATAGTGTGACACTGCTCTTGTTGGGAAAACAACAAGCCGCTCTCCCAAGATGCTCCATAAGTGTAATACAGTACAATGCCAATGGGATGTTTTTTTTAGAAACTCATTGTTGAATGGTTCAGAGATGCATCTGGAAGAATGCTTACACCAGAATAATAACCAAAGAAGGCTAGCAGGCGAAAAGATTTTTGGAAGCATTTGGGATACCAGGAGGCCAGCAGGACAGTAACAGCACTGAGCATACCTGGCCTTGGAAAGTCCTCTTTATCCTTCAATGTAGACGCCTGGTCATTCCTGGAGCTGTTCCTGCCCTGCCCTGGACCTACCCTCTCCTATCCCCCACATCCCCTACCCCCCTCTGGTGCCCTAAGGGGCCACCACCACAGCATTTGCTACAATGGACAGGGAGGACCCGATCCCATCCCTGCCCCCACTGGACTGTGATGAGCTCTGGGAGGCCAGGACTCTATCCTAGAGCCCTGGGCTGGGCACGGCATCCGCCCAGAGCTTCTGACTGCGTTGCATGAAGGAAGCTTATCTGAAGGACTGCCATGTTCTGTGTGGCCTCAGGGGCCCCAGTCAGGCTTCATAGGAAGACGTCATCAGGAGACGGTTCAGTGAATGTCCTACACCTAAAGCCTGTTCGCAGGATGGGCTACATTCTTCGACTTTTCTTTTGTCACAAGATCCGTCTTTGCACAACTGAGCTTCCATAGTCTCATGAACTCCCTCGTATTGCCCTATTTGTGAGCTGTTCCATCAAGCAGACAAGCCTGATCTAACTAATCCTACAGGTATGGAGATTTTAGACAGCATCCAATTAAAATTTTTTATCATAATGTTACTCTGTAAGGAACATCCTTGGGAGTCATCTTTCTTCTGTATTTATGATCTCTTCACCTAAGTGTAATTCCTAGGTCCTTGAGCAGGGGAAGGTTTAAAGCTCAAGAACATGCTATACCACCATGTCACAAAGTTCTTCTCCAAGTGAGAACCACCTAAGAGAGACACTGCTGCCTCTGGAGGGAGCACTCCGTTACCCAGGCCACCCAGGCCCTGCAAGCAGGGAGCTCCAAGCTGTGACGCTCTGTGAGCACGCAGGCAGAGTCCCCACCCCACTGCCTCCAGGCCTGTCCAGCCCCATGAAGGGGTTTGATTCAGCCTCCCTAGGCTCTGCTTCATTCTGATTCCAAACTAGCTGCTAGCATTCTAAAATTGGGAGATTGCACATCAAAGCTGTTTCTATATTCTCTAGAACAATTAGGAGACCTGATGCTGAGGGGCAGCTATCCTGTAAGATGGAGCCCATGCCCCCCAGCACAGCCCAAGGCAGTGCCAACCTGCTTCTCCCCTCCCTGAAGGCACCTGTGACTGCTGGTGAAAGGTCTTCCAGCTTCCATCAGCACCCCTAGCCCAAGAGCTAGTCCTGGACTCCAGGAGGGCTCATAAATAGGATCAATGAAGCCCCTATGACAATGAAAGGGGGAAATACAGGGTAGCTGTAATATCAGGCCATAAGATCCAGCCCCCTGATTGGAGTTAACACATATGCCAGGGAAGTAGGGGTCTGTGCCACAAACCGCTTCCTTTCCATGTAGGTAGTCACCCTGTTCCTGCCTCGATGGAACCTTAAAAAACTATCTAGTTCATGAATTCTTGCACTGCACCCTTCACCAAGCCGTTTTACAGATGAGGAAAACTGAGGTCCAAAGATATAAACAGTTAATGGTGTAAAGAGGCCTCTGGCAGAAAGCAACACTTAACCCAAAGGCAGACCTTGCAGATGTTGGACTCAGGGCCCCTTTCAGCTTTTGCCTGGAGCATGAGACTGTCTACCCCCAAGTACAATGCCTCAGAGATCCCCCCACTCACTCATCCTCTCTCTCCAGGACATCCCGGGGCACGGGCAGCAGGGACAGGAGGCAGGCTTGGCTCATGTGCTGGATCTCCCCGAGCCGCTGCTGGTGCTGGGCTCCCGACATGTGGTCCTGGAACTCCTGCAGCGGGATGAAGAGTGAGCCCCAGAACAGTGGGCGAGCACAGGGCCCAGAGGACAGGCCTGCAGCTTCATGGTCACCCCACTGCCGCTGATGCCATGCTTCTTACAGCCCTCTGGGGGCCAGAGGAGGATGGCAAGTGGAGGCACTGAGTGAGCACACAGCAGCCAGAGCTTCTGCTGCTCCTCCTGGACACTGTGTGGGCTCCTCAGGGACAGGGACATGACCTCCAGACCCCACGGCTATGCTCAGGATGACACAGGCAGCAACAGCAAATGGTCATAATATTAGGAGTATAACGCTGTTGGTAAGGCTACACTCGCTCTGGACTGGGCCTAGGGGCTCGTGATTTCAATGTCAAGTCACTGAATCGTCAGAACCTCCCAGCAAGGTGGGTTCTAATTGTTTCTTCATCTGATGCATGAGGAAACAGAGGCATAAGGAGTGGAACTCACCATCTGGCTTCTACACACCTAGTCAGGGCTGAATTAGACCTGTCTGCTGGACTCTAAGATCCTAACTTCTTGGCTAGCCAGGAAATGTTTTCAGAACAGATGCATGGCTTTCATGAATGGTGCTCACAGGGCCCTCAGGGCCACTAAGGCACGGCAGCCAGGCCCGGGCACACCCTGTAGATACCCCCACTCTGCCCACTGGACTCCCCTTCCCGGGACCTGGCCGGCAGTACCTGCTGACTGCTACAGTTGGCCTTACAGAGGTAGCAGAAGAACTGGAGGGTCTGCTTAGAGGGTGTGCTGGCAGTGGCAGGGGTGGCAGATGTGGATTCGCCAGCGCGAGGCACGGGTGTGAGGGGGACAGTGCTGAAGGCCCGGCTGTCACTGCTCTGCAGGATGGTGACCTTCAGGGAGCCTCCGGCACCCCACACCTGCAGCAGAGGCAGGGGCAGAGCTACCACCAGCTGGTACCTATGGTCGGCCAGCCCAGGCGCCAAGCATCCGGAAGCAGCATCTCACCAGACCCTCCCAACAGCCCCCTTCGCAGATGGGGAAACTGAGGTGCCGAGCTGGTAGCTGACTGCCCAGGCTCACAGAGCTAGGGTGTACTACAGCCAGGACTCAAGTCTAAGCCCACCCAACTGTAAAGTCCACCCCATCCCATCCTCCCGTGACAGATGGAGAAACCGAGGTACAAAGAAGGGGGTGAGTTTGACCACAGTTGCACTATGAGATAGAGCTGGAACCTGAACTGCATGCACAGGCTTTTGCTCTGTGCTTTACCCCAGAACACTTTACCTCGGGAGGGGACCAAGGCTATAGTCTGGGGATGAACAGGTTGGAAGGGACATGTCACCAAAAGCACCTCTGATTCTTCAGAGCAAAGGTGTGTGAAGGCAACACAGCAATGGTCAAACCCAGTCTGCTCTGCCCACGGGCCCCAGTGGTGGGGGTGGGGGTGGGGCACACAAGGGGGCCTAGGGGTGGGGGCGGGAAGGCCGTCCCACCACTGGGCCCCACGGTACCCATGCAGCCCCAGGAGCATGTCTACCCACCCCTAGCATCTCTCTTGCCCTTTTTTCACATTCTCCCACATCCAGGCCACTGGTCAACTCGTCCTGACTCTCCATGCTGCCCTGGGCGCCCTCTGGCTCTGGCGAGGCCTCCTCCAGGCCTGAAATGAAAGATGGGTCCATCTCCCACCAGGGCCCAGAGGGACCTGGGTGGGCCTGATAGCCACCTCCTCTCCCCACAGCCAGGATCCTGAAGCCTTTGGTGGGAACAGCCCCGAACCCTGGTCAGGACTGGACAGCACCAGGGGGAGGATCGAAGGGTCTTGGCAGAGCTGTCCCATCCCCAGGCAACCGGGAACCAGTGTTCACTGACCAGCTCCACTATCTCCCTTATCAGGAGGCGTCTCCAGCTCTGTGGAATGAACCGGCACCGGGGCTTGCTCCAATGCTGGTACTGACACCTGTAGCGGGGCCTGAGGCTGTCCCTCAGTGGGGTCAGGTGCCTGCACTGGCAGCTGCCCTGGAGGTTGTCTCAGTGGCTGCTCCGGCGGCTGGACCTGAGGATACGTCTGCGTCTGTGCCTGCTTCTGCAGCTGTGGCTGCTTCTGCACCAGGGGCTGGGAATGTGCCTGTGGCTGCACCTGTTTTTGCGGCTCTGCCTCCTTCAGCACCTGCTGCGGCCCCACATGGTCTGGAGAGGTCTGTGTCTGCACCTGCTTCTGCAGGAGGCGCTGCACTGGCATGTCCACGGGAGGCACCTGTGGCGGCGTCTGCGTCTGCGGCTGCACCTGGGCCTGGATCTGCAGAACCCGGGGCTGGAATCGTGGCAGAACTCGGGCTTCTGGCGGCTCAGGCAGCAGCTCGGGTGTCTGTGTCTGCTTCGGGGCTGTGGTGCGGGCCTGCGGCTGCCCCGGAATCCCCTTCTCCGTGGGCAACTCTGAGCTAGGAAGGATCCAAAGATATCTTCCAGTATCTCCCCATTGGCCCCAGGGGCCCCTCAAAAAGGGTCAAGACCCAGTTCCGTCCTAGTTTTAGCACGTACAAGCTGGGCATTGGGGCAAGCCCCCGCAGCTCTGCCAGCCCCAGTGTACCTAAATAAGTTGGGGGGATCACTCACACACCACCTCCCACATCTGCTAATATGTATCCAAGGCCCTGTAAAGTCTCCCATCCTCTGCCCATTCTGAGTTCCCAGATACACATGTTCACCTTTCTGACCCGCCCACCTAGCCTGCCTCCAGGTGGCTCAGTGCCAGAGAAAACATTGGAGACTCTCCGGTTGGAGACTCCAGTGAGATGCAGAATTGGGTCTGACCTTCCTTCAAGCCAGACATCAAGGCCCTTTCCTTACTCCAGCTCCGTGAAGGGTCCTGACCTACACCCACCCCCAGCCTTTGCAAGAATGAGAGTAGGAGGCACCTGGGCCCTGGGTGGGTTTTCAGCATGGTTTACTTACCTCTTTGACCTCTTAGCTGGTGGCTCAGATGCCTCACAAGACTCGGGAGCAGGTGCTACAGTGTGTTTCTCCTTAGCAATGCCATCTGGGCAGGGTGGGGAATCCTGGTCTGGAATGGAGGGCAGATGAGTGACTGCCAATGTCATGAAGAGTACAAACTAGCTCCGAGAGATGGGGCCTGGGCTCCCCCTCCCCCCAAGGGCCCTGCCTCCCAGGTCTGCCTCCATCACCGACCCTGCACCCACATGCCCCAACCTGTATCCTCTCCAAAGGGCCAGCAGCCTCCCTGTCTTACCTTCTGGTGTGTCTGCTTGGGGCGCGACAGCTTCCTCAGACCCCTCTGGGGGGTCTGACTCATCTTCCGCAGGCATTGTCTGAGAATAAGAATCCTGCTTCCTTTCAGAAACTAGTTTTGACATCTGCTGCCCAGTTAAGCATAACCTTAAGTATACCTTGGCCCAAGAGTAGCTATGACAGTCTCCTAGGGGATGAAGGAGCCTGGGGACTCTGTGGGCCCAGAACTGCCCAGAGATGATCCTAAGCACCCCAGGAATCCTGTCTAGGCGGGTCCATCCAGCTGCGTGGCTGTTAACCCAGATTTGGGGGACACAGAGGGCCCCTCCTGACTCCCCAAGTGACTTCTCCATGAAGCAGCCAGAAGAATCCATCTAAAATGCAAACCTGATCATGTCTTTTGTCTTTCAGGCTAAAATCCTCCTATGACTCCTCTGACTCTAGAGTACTCCTTCCTCACCCAAGCCCAAAGCCACCTCCCCCACCCACCATCCAATTGGACCTCTGTCCCCCCGCCCCCACCCCAAGCCACCTCCTCACTCTCCCCTTCACCCTCTCGGTATCCACACTGGTCTTCTCTCTGGTTCCCCCAAATCCTAGGCCTCTTCCCATCCCAGGCCTTCACCCAGAGCCTCAAAGGCACTTCTTGCAAGAAGCCCTCCTGACCCCAGAATACAGGTTCCCAAAGGAATTTGGGCTTCCTCTTTATGGAATATTCCACTCTTAAATAATTGGTAGGAACATTATTTGCATTAATGTCTCGCCATTGTCACTACCCTCCTCAGCCTAAGACTCCGTGAAGGGTCAGGCTAGATGCACCATCCACAACAGAAGTCCCTACAGGACTTAGAGATGTTTGTTAAATAAATGCACAACTCCGGTTGGTCCTGGGCTCCAATTAGCCCCTGCTCCCTAAGCTGAAGGAACCTGCTCCCAGTGGAAACGGGCATCACATCAGCACTCCATGCCCTTCAGAAACGACCTGGCTCTCACCCTGCATGACAGGGGCACTGCTGGCCTATAAGTTAGGAGGCCTGGGGACTGGGTCTGTCTCAACAGCAGTGCAGCCCAGTGGTGTCTGTCTCGACACCACTCCCTGACCCTCAGTTTACACAGATGTCAAATGAGTGGCAGGAGCACTAGACAAGAAGAATATGTGAAGACAGGCCCAACTGGCAGGCTGGAGGCCGGGACCCCTCTCTGGAGGGAAATGCCTCACCTCCAGGTGTGAGCTGGCCTTAGAACCCGAGAAGGGGGGCACCAGCCTTGCCCAGAATGCTCTCAGGAGTGTGCTGTGTGTGAGGAGCTGTCAGGACACTCGGGCACAGGACAGTCCCTGAAAGGAAGTTATCCCCAGGCAAATCTCGCTTCTCTCAGCTTATGACAGAGAGAGGCACCTTTCACATACCCACACACCCACACCAACACTGGGCAAGGCACAAGGAGCTAGGGGTGCAGCTCTAGAACCTTAGGATGGCAACATGTAGAGTTTAGGGTTTTGTAACATTGTTTTACCCAATTACCTTTCTTTTACTTCCACCTACAGCAATTAATTTAGACTTTTTTTTTTTTTTAACATTTCAGGTAGTAACATAATGTTTCTTTGTGAAATAAATGTAACCGACAAGAACCTAATTCGTTTAAAGCTAGGTGGCTCAGGCTTTTGAGTTCTCCAAACGTAGCAAGCCAAATTGAGATATCAGATTTTGAAGACTTGCTACAAAAGAAAAAGGAATGTAAAATGCCCCGGCCATTTTTTAAAATATTGAATAAAAGTTGAAATGATAATACATATATATTTTTTACATATTGAGTTAACTAAAATCTGTTAGTAAAATTGATTTCACCAGTTTCTTCAGTTTCTTTTTACTTTGTTGATATGATGGCTAGAGAGAGACATTTAAATTCCGTATATGGCTCATATTCTCTTTCTACAGGGCAGCGTGGATTTACAGAGAACCATCACAGGACACCTAAAACTAATATAGTGTCCGGTGTCGTTTTTATCTCCAGGTGTTTACAAAGACAGAAATATTCGGTAAAAAATAGTACTGGTGGTACTATTGTGGTATCTGGACATGGCAAAAGTCAATGCAAGAATATTTGAAATTTGGGAAACACTAGACAAGGTCAATTTACCCCCCTCTTTTTACAGATGGGGAAACTGAGGACAAAAAGGGATGTGACCTGCCTAAAGGCCAGTGTGAGCCACGTGGGTAGAACTGGGCTGATACACAGGTATGACCTCCTACCCCATCCCCATCCTCTGTACCCCACTGCCACTTACCTTGCGATTGGGAGTAGTGGATGAGGGAGTGCGGGCCTGTTTCTGGGGAGTCCGCCCTGAAAGGTTGATCTGGGAGGGGTTCATGGGGACCCCGACAGGAGGGGGACCCAGCAAGGATTGCCGAGTTGCCTGGGGAAAAAACTGCTGTAGATTTGGGGTGGTCAGCTGAGGGGGTGTGAGGCTGGGGGCCGTCAGGGTTGGGGTTGCCAGGCCGTAGCCACGGAGGTTACCTGTGGGCAGGAAGAGGGGAGAAGAGGGATTACAATGGGGTTCACATGGTAGAGGCCAGGGTCAGGTGTCAGTGCCCCAAAGCATCATGGAAACAACACAGATGACTTTGACAGGGACATTTCCCACACGACAACAGCCAGAGAAGAGAGATGAGCACCAGAGGCCCACTCCCACCTTAGGCACTGGCGGTGAGGGGACTTTAGGGCTGGTTTTCTCTCCAGCTGAGGAGGAGAGGGACACTGCTTTTCCCTCTCCAGATGCCTCCCTGGTCAGCCTCCCCTGCAACCTCACTCACCCTCTGAGGTATGCTTTAGGGTACACCTTAAGATATGTGAAAGACCCAGCACAGTACCCATAGGGAGAACCAGCGAGTTGACTGACTGGTCCCTGGAATAAGAAGATACTCTCCCATCCCCCTTCACCCCCACCCTCATCAAAAATCTACTGCTGGGATGGTTCAGCAGTTGGGCGGCTGCCTTTGGCTCAGGTCATGACCCCGGGGTCCGGGATTGAGTCCCACATCAGGTTCCTGCGAAGAGCCTGCTTCTCCCTCTGCCTATGTCTCTGCCTTTCTCTCTGTGTCTCTCATGAATAAATAAATAAATCTTAAAAAAAAAAATCTACTGGGAACCAGGCACTTGCTAAGCATTTCCCACGCACAACCTCAGTCATTCGACCCAGCTACCATCAGCATACCATAGGTATTATGTCTCTACCAATAACAAAACAGGCACAAAGCAGAGGTGCAGCTTGCCCAGGGTCTCTGCTCATTCTGCCTCCACCCCTCTCCACCTGCCTAAATCCTTCCATAGCTCCCTGCTGCTTGGAAAGGAGCCCATTCCTCACCGTGCAGGGTCTGGCCCTGCCCTCCTCCCAGGCTTCCTTTCTTGCCCGTCTCCCCACACATGCATCCACTACACTCCAGCTATATGCTTCTGTGCATCCCTCAACAAGCCTCATTTCTTCCTGCCTCCAGGCCTTTGCATATGCTGTTCCTTCTGCCCCAGCTATTCTGCCCCCCACTATCTCCTGGTCATCCTTCAGATCTCCCTTCAGGTGTTTATCATCTGAGAGGCCTTCTCAGATCCTCTCTGTGTCTCCAGAGGCCCCAGCTGTTCTAGGACTAGCTGCACAATTTTTTCCTTGTCTGTTTCCCACTGCCCACCACCCAACCACAGTGGGAACTCCTATAAGGGCAGGCACCTCATCTAGCTCCGAGGCCCACTGCTCAGGAAGTATTTGAGCCATAAAAGACAGTTCAAATCTTTGCCCCAAAGCTGGGACAGGAAGCACAGGGGTTGAGGACATGGATCAGAGGAGCTCTAACAGCTAGTTCAGGTTCTATAACCAAAGCTCTGTGAGCAAATCAATTTCTCCTTCTTAGTCTCAGTTTCTTCATCTGTACAATGGGATAATAATAGCACTTGACTCACTATTTTATGAGGATTCAAGGAGATATACAAGTGTGCCTGGTATACGGTAAGTGTTCAATTAATATTAACTTAAAACAAATACATGTACATATATGTGCAGAGAGAATGCCAACCGGCTCTTTAAAAAGATCAAGAGATCTAAAAGATCTAAAAGATCTAAAAGAAAAATGGACAAAGGACATGGACGAGTCACAAAAAGAAATACGAATGTTTAACAGACAAAAAAACTGAACTAGCACTCCAAGAAATGTAAACTAAAACATTAATGATACAGCTTTTTTTGCCAACCAAGTTAGTAAATCATATGTATATACATGTATATATATAAAAAAGTATATAATACCCAGTGTTGCCGTGGGCATGGTGAGACCGGCACTGTCATACGTGGCTGGTGGCATTGCAAACTGGTCCAGTCCTTTGGGAAAGCAAGTTGGCAATACTTATCAAGAGCCATAAAACATCCATTCCCCCAACCCAGCTATTCTACTTTTGGGAATACATTCTAAGGAAATAGTCTCAAACAGGATATTCATCCCCATGTTATTTAAAACGGAGAAAAAAGAAAAAGAAAATAAAGAAAAAGGAAGCAGCTGAGTTTTGGTACATGAGCGCTTGCCCTCCAGTAGAATACAAACAGCCGTTAAAAAATAACTTTTACAGAGATGCTCAAATCATCTGGTAAATGATCATGCCATTCTATTCCATGAAAAAGAAGTAAGATTCAGCCTTTCACTTACATGTCAATAACCAACCACAATCATATACAAATTCCTAACTTTGAGCCTAGAAAAAAATGGAGAAAATGCACCAAAACCCTGACAAGTGTTGTTGTTTTTTCCTCTAGGAGGGAAGTCTATAACAATGTGGGTTTCCTTATTCTCTTAAAAAAGTTTTTTTGCTTTCACTTTTCTTTGAAAAGTGTGACTTTTAAAATGGGAAACAAAAAGGGGGAAATACATATGTATATATTGTGGGTCCCTGAGTGTGGTTTTCTCTCTCCACCTATCCATTGATCATTTGTAAATAAACTCCAGGACCTTCCACGCCCATATGGCAGGCCTAAGAGTGACAGCCATTGCATCTTCTGACTTGGCAGTGTATTCTGCTGGATGGCAGGACAGGCTAGTATGTAAGAACACAGCTCTGTAGCCAGACCTGGGCTCTAACTCTCTTTCTAATCCACACCTAATCCCTGTGTGACTGTGAATACATGATTCTTCTCTGAGCCTCAATTTTTTTCATTATAAAATGGGATCATGAGTGTGTCTCTCAGCTACCCCCAGGGTTATCAGCAGAGTCAAGGAATTGTGTTTGTAAAGGTCTCAGGACAGTGTACTGCCCAGAAGAACCACGCAGCAAGCCACAGCTACCACTTGGGAAGGGCTGGGTCTGCACATGAGCCATAAGTATCTGGAACAGCATCTTTGAAGGAAGAGCTGAGAAGCTGCTCTCCACGTAGGGAAACAGACAAGGACACAAGCTTAATACACAGGGCTAGAGGCACCTACTCAGAGATGCAGGGTCAGAAGGCTCAGGCCTTCATATAGCTGAGTGACCCAGGGCAAGGACTTGGTCCAGACCCAGCTCTGGACCTCGGCTTCCGTATCTGTCACATGGGATGTGGCGGAGGGTGGTCCGAAGAGATCTTTTCATCCATCATCTCATCTAATCTGAATGAGAACGAGCTATGATGAGTGTTGCCTGCAGAGCCAGCACTGTGGCCAAGGGCACACCTCTACAATCAGACCTGTGTCCAGCTGAGACAACTTTGGGACTCCACTTCCTGGAGCCTCAGAATCCTTGTCTGCAAACTAGGACGCCAAGAGTAGCTCCCTCTCAGAGTTGGTGTGTGGACTTGGTGAGATTTAGTGCAAATGGGGATGCTAGGCCACGCCACTAAGAAGTCAGAGAGGCCTACCTTGCAACTGCTGCAAAAGCAAAGCTCTCTGTAGCAAAGACCCGTTGAGGAGGGAGGCAGAGTTGGCACCTTGGAGATTCAGAAGCTGCTGCTGTGTCTGCTGCTGGGGAAGCCCCCTGTGTGTTGGGAGAGGGTATCAGAGGGCTTTGGGAGAGTCAGACCCCCCCCTTCCTTCACCTCCATTCTCAGCCCCTCTCTACTGCAGAGGAACCTCTTAAGGTAAGAATTAATGGCTTTCAAGACTGAAAAACAGGGATGTCCCTGGGAGAAAGGGCTGGGACGGGGTCTCCACGCCAGGGGCCTGAGTGACAGGGCTGAAACCGCCCCCGCCCTCGGGAGGGTAACTCACCGGCTGACGGCTGCGGCCATGGGCAGCGGGGCTTGCGGTGGAGATTGTTGGAGCAGCTGCTGGAGCTGCAGGAGTTGCTGCTGCTGGAGCTGCTGGAGCTGCTGCTGCTGGTTGAACATGGTGGCTGAAGGAAGGACATGGGGTAAGCCACGACACCTGCCTCTGTGCCCATCCAGGCCCACCCATGGCCTTCAAACACCTGCCCGCTGAGCTTCACGGTCACACCCCAGTCCTGCCAAGAGCCTGCAGCATTTGCACCCTCATGCTTTCAATACCCCTCCTCCCGCCACTCTCCGCAAATCTTGCCAAAAGTCCCTCCCAACCTGGCCCACCATCTCTACTCCCCTGGCTCGGTCCTTCCAGGGGCGTCAGACCCAAATGCACCTCCCCCCACCCCCAGCCTTTCTCGCGCCATCACTATGCCAGCCCCTCTCCACACCACACCCCTCCCTCGTGCCTATTTTGCGTCAATAACAGAACCCCAATCTTTCGCTTTGGCCTCTGAACAAAGTGGGAGGCAGGCTTCCGCCCCCCACTCCGCTAACCCCTTCCTCTGCAGATCCAGCCAGCAACCCACGTCAAATCCGGTTACCCCACCTGCCCGCGACGCCCGCAGCCTCCAGCCAGCCGGCCTCTGAGCCTTGCACGCGTCCACCAGGCGCGCGGGGCCCGCGGACCTCGCTTCCCCGAACCCCCGCCGCAATCGCCCCGCCCCCACTGGGGGCTCGGCCACTTAGAACGCCCCGCGGACCCGGCCGCCGCAGCGCCCTCTGGAGGAGCGGAGGACCCGGCGCCGCCCGCCGCCCGCCGCCCTGCGCTCGGGTCCGGCTGCGGGGACGCCCCCGCTTACCCGGCGCCTCGGCTGCGGCGGGCGCGACCGTGGGCTGAGAGGGGGCCCTAGGCAGCGCAGACCCTCCGCCCCGCGTCCTCCGCCCCTGGAACCGGCGGCTCCGAGCCCGAGGTCCGTCTCTCTCCCGGAGGGGTCTGTCGGCTGGCGGGGACATCGCGGGCAACTTCGAGAAGGACCGACCCCAATCGACCTCCCCGCGGCTGCCACTGTCCCGCGATCCGGAGGCCTCGCGCGGGGCTGGGGTGGGAGGGGCCGTGCAGGCGGCCGCTGCACGTTCGAGGACTGACCCGGCGAGAGGGTGACGGGCACCGCGGGCGGAAGGGGGTGGGGAGGTCCGTCCCAAGGTGCTTCTTCGAGTTGACTCGGGAGGGGGTGAGGAGGGCTGAGTGCAAGGTGAAGACTGCGTTCATCCTGACCCTGAAATTATCCGGCCCTCAAAGACTCTAATTACCCCTCGGCCGCTCATCTTGGCGTCCCCGTCCTTGGCCCCCACCTGAGCCTAACAACCCGCGGTTACTAAGTAGCAATCCCTTTCCCTTTTTCTGTTACCTAAACCGGTCCATAAATTTAACAGCCCGGGGCAATCAGCTCCTTCTGCATTAAGCGCAGATTGTGCGCGGCCGCAGCGCGCAGTGGCGCTAGAGGCTCGCAGATTGGAGGCCGCCCTGCGCGCTCTGCCGCGGAGGGGAGTGTCAACCAATCCCTGCAGTCGTGTGACAAGCGCTGCGCTGAAGTTCGGGACCCGCTCCACTGCAGCTCCGAGCTCCGGGCGGCAGCGGCACAGATGCCTAATTCCGCCTGGATTTAGTGGCTCGAAAGTGGCTCAGCGTGGCCACAGCACGAGGCAGGGGCCGGAGTCATCAGGATGTGGTGCCCTTGGGTGGAAGGGCAGGCTGGACCGTGGGAGCTTTGAAGGCCTGGCCTTGGGCTTTATCCCTGAAGGGCAGGGAGCGCTAGCAAAGTCTATGACAACAGCCCATCTCCCGGGATTAGAAAACTCACGCTGGGGGCGCCTAGGGTGACTCAGTGGTTGAACGTCTGCCTTTGGCTCAGGTCATGATCCCGGGGTACTGGACTCTTCCTCTGCCTGTGTCTCTGCTTCTCTCTATGTCTCTCATGAATAAATAATATCTTTTTTAAAAAACAGAAAAATAGAAAACTCACTCTGGTGAGAACCAAGACGGAGCCAAGATCCAAGCCCACTGACACCTTGGTCCCAGTGCTAGCAGAAGTTGAATCCCGACTCCACTACTTTCTGGCTGGGCCACCCAGATGCAGGCAGGAGTCCTCTCTGAGCCGGTTTCTTCCTCTATACAATGAATGCTCCCTCCCTGGGTGGGTGTGAGGATAATATTACATAATGCATAGCGCTGTGTAATGTGTAACGTAGATCTGCATTCAAATTGCTGAAGTAAAAAAAAAACACTAAAAATAATGCTCATGCTGGTGATTCTATATTAGTTCATCTTTCTGAAAAGCAATCTGTAAATGCTCTATCAAGACTCTTGAGGGACACCTAGGTGGCTCAGTGGTTGAGTGTCTGCCTTTGGCTAAGGGTGTGATCCTGGGGTCCTAGGATAGAGTCCTGCATGGGGCTCCCGGCAAGGAGCCTGCTTCTCCCTCTGCCTATGTCTCTGCCTCTCTCTCTCTCTCTCTCTCTCTCTCTCTCTGTGTGTGTGTGTGTCTCTCATGAATAAATAAATAAAATCTTAAAAAACAAAACAAAACAAAACAAACCTCTTGAATGTGCTCTGCCCTTTGACCTGGCAACCCCTCTTGTAGGAAACTTGCCCAAGAAAAGAATCAGGAGACTTTTTAAAGCCAGCACGTCATTCATGGGACCATTATTTATAATAGCTATCTGGAAAGTAATCAACTTTAGGAGAACAGCTAAGGAAATCATGGTGTTTGCCTCTTATGGAGTAGCACACAGCCATCAAGAATTATGCTTTCAAAGACTATGTAAACACCCACAATATGATGTGAAGTGAAATCAGCAAGTTACAAAATTGCATACATAATTATGATCCTAATTTTGTTTTTTGTTTTTTAAATATTTTATTTTTTATTTATTCATGAGAGACACAGAAGGAGAGAGAGAGGCAGAGACACAGGCAGAGGGAGAGGGAGAAGCAGGCACCATGCAGGGAGCCTAATGTGGGACCGATCCTGGGTCTCCAGGATCACGTCCTGGGCTGAAGGCGGCACTAAACCACTGAGCCACCTGGGCTGCCCATGATCCTAATTCTGGAAAAAATAAATATACGTGTGTAGTGGGCTCATGGAGGAGGTTCATTTTCTTTCCTTTTTTCTAATTTATGGTATCGGTTTAGATGACGTTTTCATGGGGAGGGAGTTGAACATTTTAAAAAATGTATAAGACTTTGTGTTGACTCCTTGAAGACCAGACAAGACAATGGCTGGTAACTCCTTGGGGGATACTGTTCAGGGCTAGCCTCATGCTAATTGCTTTTAACCAATCCCTTGCTGGCAAAGCCCCCCAGTGGACTATGTTCAGAGGGAGAAGAGAGGCACCATCTCTTTGGATTTGAAATGAAATCTGAGGCTGTAGCATCACCTGGAGGCCTCTTTCTTGCCTCTAATCTGAGTGGCACCTTTTTCATGTAATAAACTCTCATACTCACGTAGATCTGCATTCAGACCTGTTTCTGCTCCAGGAATCTACCCATCCCTTCCCATGATGCAACCTACCACTTGGTGTGACTATTACAGTTTGGGAATGTATTTTAATGCCTGATAGCACAAGCTCCCACCATTATCAGCTTTACAAAAAATTTCTTGCCAATTCCCAATTGTGTAAAAATTTTTTTCCAGGTAAATTGTAGAATGACTTTGTTAAACCCCTCCCCCAACTCCCACCACATCTCAAGTTTTATATAATAATATATATAAGAGCTCCTTCAACTTTGATGTGCATAGGAATCTCCTGGGGCTCTTGGTTAAGTGCAGGTTTGTGATCCAGCAGACCGTGAGCAGGGCCCGAGATTCCATGTTTCTGACAAACTCCAGGTGATGTCCAAGCTGCTGTTCTGGCATCAGTGATAAGCAGTACCAGACCTATAGTATGATCCCATTCTATAAAAACAAGATGAAACAAAATGAATATATATATAGGAAAATCCAGAGAATAAACACCGTATAAGCTATAAATATCTGGGTTATCTGTGGGTGGGAGGATAACCAGAAGCTTTCAAACACAGTGTAAAGTCTGACTTTTACAGTAAGTTTCACTACTGTAACTAGGAAAAACAACGAGCCGTGATGGCACCCTTCTGGGCAGACATCGGCAAACTGCACCCCTTCCCCAAATTAATGGCTCCACACCAGGCTTCATCTCTGCCCTCTCTGGTTCTCAGAGCATAATAAAGGGCCTGGCCCTAAGCAGCTGCTCAGGATGGGCGTTGTGTGTAGCTAATACTCCAGCTGCCTGGAAGGCTCAATCAGTTGGTTTATTTTTTTATTTTTTATTTTTTTAAATTTTTTTTATTTTTATTTTTTATTTATTTATGATAGTCACAGAGAGAGGAGAGAGAGAGAGAGAGGAGAGGCAGAGACACAGGCAGAGGGAGAAGCAGGCTCCATGCACCGGGAGCCCGATGTGGGACTCGATCCCGGGTCTCCAGGATCGCGCCCCGGGCCAAAGGCAGGCGCTAAACTACTGCGCCACCCAGGGATCCTTCAGTTGGTTTATTTATTTATTTTTTAAAGATTTTATTTATTTATTCATAGAGACAGAGAGAGAGAGAGGCAGAGACACAGGCAGAGGGAGAAGCAGGCTCAATCAGTTGGTTTAATCAAATTCCGGTGAGCACCAAGCCAGGGCCAGGCCCCTCACAGGGATTCTAATCTTTCATTATCCCCATTAGCCAGATTAGATAACTGAGGCTCAGAGATGGGTAGGGACCTGGATCACCTAGCTTGACTAAATCCCTCCTAGGACAGGACCTGCTCATTCTCCTCTGCCTGTCTGGAAAATCCCCCCACCCCCAGATGTCCACATGGGTCACTTCCTTCAGATCTCTGCTCACATTTTTACCAGAATCCTACTCTCACCACTCTAAACAAAGAACAGCACTATCCACCCACCCCCCTGCCCGCTTAGCCTTCTTAAGCTTTCTTGCTTTCCAAAGCACCCATCACCATCTGACAGAGTCATATCTATTGGGTTATTGGTGCTTTGTTTCTTTTTCCACATAGGGGTATAAGCCACATATGGGAAAGGACTTTGTCCATTTTGCTCACTGCTCTGGGCTCTAGCATAGTGCCTGGCTCAGTTAATATGCATTAAACAGGTGAGTGAATGCAATCTCTGTTTGCCAGGCCACTGCTCTCCCAGCAATGCTTCCCCACCCCCTAGATTCACAGCAGGGTGACCTGCTGATGCCTAACAGCACAGGATAGGCTGGCTTTTCTTTCCTAGACTCCTTGTGGGCAGTCCAAATTAGGTTCCTCTAAATCAAAGGTGGATGGCTAGGGCTGGGGCCCACGGCCTCTCCATGTGAAAGGGATACACAGGGTAGGGCTATTAGAGTCCTGGATTTGAGTCCCAGTTTTACCACTATCCTGATGGATTGGGACAAAGACTGACACTCTAGGACAAGAAGTCCCAACTCTCCCAAGAAGGCCTTCCAAGGGTCAGGCCTGGCTCCTTCTCATCATGTAGGTCTCTTCTCAAATATCACCTCCTCAGAGAACCACCCCAACTCCTCCCAGGCTAAGTGGACGTTTTGCACCTACATAAGTACCTCTCTTCACACCCTGTTTACTTCTTCCATCACTGTTAGTGTACACTATTTTCATTTTTACTCTTTCGTTTACCTGTTTTTCATTTCCTGTCTGTCTCCACCCACCCAATGTGAGATCTGAGGGTAGAGACATTGTCAGTCTTGGTCACTACTGTAACTCCTCTGCCTACAACAGGGACTGGCTTAGAGTAGGTGCTCAATAAATATTTGTTGAATTAATGTTCTGTCTCCTTCTAGAAACGAGGAAACTGAGGCCTAATGGTGGGAAGGGGCATGCCGCCATGAATTCTACCTAGAGTAGAAGGCAGTGAGGCAGAGTGGAACTCCAGGTCCGGAGACTGTGACCTTGAAGGAGACCCATCTCTCTCCAAACCTCAGTTTCCTCATCTTAAGATGGAGTGAGACAGCCATGACCATTATCCAAGAGGCCTGGTACTAGGGGCGAGACCTTGCTCATTTCCAAGAATGATAGCTACGGTGCAGCATCAGAGCTCCCCAGACACGGCTCAAGCGCCCCAAAAGCCGCAAGCGGAGAAAACTACAATCCCCATAATGCCACAGGCGGCACCTGCGCACGGCAGCCAGCCTGCAGCGCTGAGGGCGCCCTCTGGCGGTAGTCGGGCGCAGAGCTCCGCTCGGCTCCTGGAGGGGCGGGGGGGGGGGGTCCGCGCGCAGGCACTCGGAGCGCGCGGCTGCAGCAGAGGAGCCGGAGCCGGGAACCGGAGCCGGGAGCCGGAGCCGCGGCCGGATCGCAGCCCGCGGGGCCCGCCGCAGCCATGGGCAACCGCGGCATGGAGGATCTCATCCCGCTAGTCAACCGGCTGCAGGACGCCTTCTCTGCTATCGGCCAGAACGCGGACCTCGACCTACCGCAGATCGCGGTGGTGGGCGGCCAGAGCGCCGGCAAGAGCTCGGTGCTCGAGAATTTCGTAGGCAGGTAGGAGCGGCGCGCCCCGGAGCGCGAACTGCCCCCCGCCCGGGTCCCCGGGCCTCCGCCCCCAGCCCCGACGGCGCCGCGACCTCGCAGCCCTTGGCGCTGCCCCCGCGGACCGCGCGCCCCCCTCCTCCAGCCAGACGGAGGGCGCCCCCCCAGCCCCGAGAGCCCCTTAGCGGCGGCAGCGCCCCCCGCTTGTCCGCAGACGTCGTCAAGCCACCGGCCACGGTATCACGCCCCCCTCCTCCGCCACATCCTTTAGGGAAGACGGCGCTCCGCGGAGAGACACTGCCAAAGGGTCCCCCCCCCCCCAGTATAGGCACCGAGGGGGCCTGCATTACTCAGCGCCTCCCTTCGGCACCCGCGTCCCCCGGAGCGGGCAGCACCAAGGGCAGTGCTCCCCAGCCCGGGGCTCCACGGAAGACAGCTCCCTCCCGCAGGAGGATCCCTGGGCCGTGGCTAGGGCCCCCCTCCCTAGCTGTGTCCCTGGGAGAGGACACAGTCCCCGGGCATCGAGGACCAGGCACAGCCTCCCCCCTCGCACACACCTCTGCAGCTCCCGCCGCCATCCGTGCGCAGCGCGGCGGCCGAGGGGAGGGGGGCTGGGGTGCTGCAGGACCAGGAGGGGGGTGGCGGCGGGACCGCTTCTGCTCCTCCTGCGCGCCGCCGGCCCCTGGCTCCGCCGCCGCCCCGGGTGGGGGGCCCCTGCAGCCGTCGCACGCCCCCGGGCCTGGCAGAGGGATCGTAATGGAGGGAGAAGGCGGCAGAGGGCAGAGATGACTAAGACCGGGAAGCAGGATGGCGGGGAGGGGGGAGCCATTTGCACAACCTAATCCCCCTCCTGCCTCTGATCCTACAGGGCGCTGGGAGGGCCAGGTGGCAAGGAGCAGGGGGCAACCGCAGAGACAAAAGGTCCTGGGTTTAGGGGGGCAGGTGGGGTCGTGACCCTCCCCTCCCGGGATCCCCAGAGAAAATGGAGGCAAGGATGGCCTTTCGGTGCCGGTGCCGGAGAAGAAGAGGAGGCACTCTCCGGGGAGGGGGTTGGGCAGACAGGGAGGAGGCAGTGACACTGGCCTCTCCACTCTGGCATCTCCCTCCCTCACCTTCTTCAGAAATCCTAGCTTTCTCCCCGTGACCTTCTCCGCTAAGGAAGCAACTGGCAGGTGAGGGAGGGAAGCAGAGGCCCCTGCCTCGGAGGGGAGCACTCTGGACCCAAGCCAGGTTCTGCTGTGAAGCCTCAGGTGAATCACTTGTCCTCTCTGAGCCTGTGTGTCCACCTCTAGGAAGGAGAGTTGCACTGGATGGTTGTTCCTGCCCCTCAAATGACCTGGGAAGCCCAGTGCCAACCCTGGGGCTGGAGGGAAGGGTTCCGACAAGACAAGAGTGGCGTATCTGGGGGATGTTGGAAAGCCACCGTGGGGGTGGCTGGGCCCAACTGATCAGCAGCGGGGGAGGCCGTTTGTCTCTTGGGGACGGGCTCCCACAGAGCCCCTCTCCTGCTCACGTGACCCCCAGAGCTGCAGAGATAAACAGGCAAGAGATACACAGATGGGACCCTTCCCTGTGGCCCAGCAGTCAGGGGGAGGGGGTAGGGTGGGGGCCTCTGGAGACAGAAAAGCCCAGAGGCCCTAGTGTTTTAAAAGGCACCCATGGAAATGCAGCACTTGACAGTGTAGAAATCTTATTCCTACCTTTGATCCATTGAACATGTGTTGAATACCTGCTTTTTCCAGGCTGTGTGCTCTGGGCAGGAGGCATAGGGTCAGGGAGGGGGCAGGTGACCTCAGCCCCCCTCTGCTGAGCCCTTCTCCTTCTCATGCGCCCTACACCATTCTCTGTCTGGTGGCTCACAGCAGCCCCTGAGGCAGGTGCTATGATGCCCATCCTGCAGCTGAGGAGAGAAACCCCTGAGGTTAGATGTCCCCTTACCCAGGAAGGACAACATCTATTCGATTCCAAAGCCCAGGTTCCTAACCCAATCTTGAGAGCCCATGAGAGCCAGGCCCTGAGCTGGGCACAGGAACACACAGGTGCATGTGCCGCCATCCTCCAAATCTGTGGGATGGGAACGCTGACCCTTGCTGCCCTACCTTCCTGAGAGGGTGGCATGGGGCTCTAAGGAGTTCATGGGTGTAAACGCCCCTTTGTAAACATGTGGAAGGGAGCTGTGGATGGTCATTTAGGCTTGGGGCCCTATGTGTGCCAGTGCAGATCTGGCCCCTGTCTTCCTGGAGTTTCCTTGTCCAGTCGAGAGAGGTACCAGTAAGTAGACAACACAGCAGGCCAGCCCCAGCCACAGCTAGCCTGGGCCCCTGTTAGTCTGGTGAGTGGAGCAAGATGTGGACTGTGCCCCCAGAGGCCCGGGTCCTCTCGTTCCTTGTGCCTCGGGGCCCTCTGACAGTGGCTCTGCTGGAGAATGTGAGAGGTGTCCAGGCGTGGGCCCAGGGCCAGTGAGGAGGACTTGGCCTGAGGTGGAGGGATGGGTGGGAAAGCATTATTTGATCCTCATGAAAGTTAGTGAGGAGGCCATGGCTGGGGCCCTAGGAGGGAATTCAGTAGTGCCCCTCACCAGCCCCACTGCTCCCTCATAGGCTCCTGACCTCTCTGCCTAGGGCTGGGTCCCCAGACCGGTGAGCATGGAAACAGCTGCTCTGCCTCCTGGGGCTTCCCAGGAGCCAACCCCCCATGGAGAGGAAGTGGAAAATAAACCAGAGGTAGCAGAGGCTGCCCCAGGCCAGCATGGCTCCTGGGCACCCCCAGGCGGCCCTGGTGTCAGCTCTGCAGTGGAAGTGGCACAGCAGCTGCCGGACTTGCTAGGACTTGTCTGGTTCAATACTACTTCTTCATCCCCCTTTTACAGAACAGGAAACTGAGGTTAATTCATTTAGTCCTTCAGACATCTGTGGATTGTCGACAGTGTCACAGCACTAGAGATTCTAGGGTAGAAAAGACAATAGCTTTGCATTCCAGAGGAGGAGACTGAAATAGTAAACACAGGAGCACATATATGAAGATGACAACGAGGGAATGTGGCCAGTCCTCTGAGAGGGAGAAGGCCTGCTTTGCACAGGGAGGTCAGAAAGAAAGGAGGTCCCTTTCTAGGAGAAGGTAGCATCTGAGATGAGAAGCCATGGGACTGAGAAGTATTCTAGGCTGGGGGAACAGTGAATGCAAAGGCCCTGGGGACAGTAACAAAGAACAGAAAGGAGCCACTGTGGCTGGTGTTTGGTACACCAGGGCAATATGGCATCAGAGAGGTAGGCAGGGATTGGATCTAGAAGGCCCTTGGGCTCTGAAGAGGAGCTGGATTTCCTTTCCTTAATGCCGGAAGCTCTGAAGTAGTGGAGGGACTTGAGCTGATTCCAGCACGTGTGAACTTGGGTGGGGGGGCAGGTGAGGAAGCTGCCCCAGGGAGCAGGTGCCAGCTGATGGGGGGGTGGCTGGGCCATGACTTCCACATAGAGGGGGAGAAGAACAGTGGAGTTCAAGGTATATTTTGGAGGAAAGTCCCACAAGACTTGCCGGTAGATGGTATGTGCAGGGTGGGGAGAGAGGACTCTAGGATGACGCCAGTGTCTTTGATTCTGGGTGGGTGTTGGTGCCATTATTGGAGGACAAGAGGAGCAGGTGTGGGGGGCGGGGGTAGGCTCAGGAGGTGGATTCTGAGCATGTTGAGTCTGAAGTGTAAGGTGGGCAGTGTGGTGATGCAAGCTGGAAGCTCAGGGGAAGGCAGGCTGGAAGTGTAAGTTTGGAAGTCATCCATCACATAGAGGTGGGATTTATACCCATGGGAGTAGATGAGATCATCTCAGAGTAAGTGTAGACAGAGGAGTGTGTGCAGGGTCCCAGGTCACCCTAGCATTTTGTGAGCAGGTGCCTGCTGCCCTAGGCCATCCTTTGTCTGCCCCTGGCTACATGCCCCCTCCTTGCGACACCTGTCCAGAACCAAGAATAAGTTGCCCTGGGACAGGCTCTCAGCCTCCACTCCCCTCCCCTCACTCTGGTGCCAGGTAGGCTGACAAATGCATAGCACCTGCCCTCTCTGCCTGCTTGACTCCTGGGGAGGCGAAAGCCAGTGGGGATTCAGCAGAGGGGGTGAGAGCTCGAGCTCTGGAATTGGACCTGGGTTTGTAGCTCAGCTCTGCCACTTACAAGCCAAATGACCTTGGGCGTGTTTCTTAAACCCTGCTCAGCTCCTAGTTCCTCATCTATAAAATGGGGGTTATAATAGCACCTCTCTCATGGGATTGTGCTGAGTGTTGAGATAACACCCACAAAACACTCCAGGTAAGGCCTAGCATAGATGGCATGCCAGTTCTGTTCTGCTTACACAGAGGGACAGGCTAGGAGGCCGGCTGGGGTGCCAGCAGGGGCAGGAGGCCTCTGCCCAGAGCCCAAGGGGCGGCCTGAGAGGCAAGGTTTTGGGTTTCCCTAGTGACTCTGCCTACCCCTGCTCAGGCTTCCTGCCTCCTGCCAACCTCCTCACCACTTCCTCTATGTTCTCCTCCCAGCACAGCCCTGGTGCCAGTCTCTGCCTCTGAGAACCCCTCTTATGCTCAAACCCAGGCCCTCCAGTAGGGGACAGCCCACTCCCCATTACTAAGCTCGCCTCATCCTCTGAACACTTTGGGACACATCTTAGTGGTTGCAATTCCCAGATTTGGAGACTGAGGCCAAGGAGGATTAAGGGCTATCTAAGACATTGCAGGTTGAAACTCAATGACGGGAGAAGGCAGAGAGGAGGGACATTTGCCTGGTGTGCAAGGTGCCAGGCGCTGCAGATACAGCTGTGAGCAAGCAGGACTGATCTCTGCTCTCAGGGAGCTCACAGCTGAGCAAGACAGACAGACACTAAATCACACAAAGGGCTCTTTTGTCATGTAGTTGAAGAAGGGCACGGGGGAGCCTTCTATTGAAGAGCAGCATCATCACTGAGGCCAGAGAAGGCCCCCTGAGGAGGTAGCATTGGAGACTGGACCTGAGCAAAAAAGGGACCCAGTCAA